AGCAGCCGCACATACACATACACACGCATGCACGTCGTCATATGAGCGAAATATTCTCAAGCACGACGTTAAACCCAATTTCACCTCACCTCACCGAACATATTCCAGGTGTTGAATACACAATATCATTTGTAAATCTCAAAAGCACAAAAGTTTGAGTGAGACCTCCTCCATTGTCATGTACCCGAGAACGGAAGGCCGGTGGTTCCACCAGTTTGCTGGGAGTCTGTATGATATCTATGTTAAACTGTGGAATGGCATGTCAGTGGGCAAGCAGCATTGTTAAAACTGCTCAAACGGACAAGTCAAAGCAGCCACGCACAACTACTAGTCTGTCATACAGACCCTGAAGCAAATATAGTCAAGAAAGCCCACGCAAGTCAAGAAAATGTGGCAGGTCTAGATTTCCACAGCTCTGAAAATGAAGAAAGTGTCAGGGCTCCTTTTCAGTACATATTATTTTTTACTATGAACTTTTTTTTCTGTAAAATATGTTCATTTCAGAGACTAGTTGTTAGTCTACCCAACTACATGCACCGCTCTATGTAAGTGAAGTTATCTTGAAAGCGACCTCATATCCTCAGCTCACCTAACTGACTAAAACAGGTTTTCTTGACAAAATTCGAGGAGTTACCTGTCCCATTCATACATTGACGGATGCATAAATGAAATTAACAACCAACTGAAGTCTGTAACTTTAAGCACACTGCACGATAGTCCAGTATAAAGTTTAACACCACACGCCATAGACTAGAGTCGCCATACTAACCTGTACATATGGTTCAAGCTGACTTTGTACAATTTGTATGAATTATAAGAGTTCCACACTTGTTGCGCTTTATGGCTTTATGATTGAATCGTCTAACGCTCAAGTAAATTCGGTCTGCAGTCGCGTCGCTTTGTCGTGATAAAAACCTATCATCCAGGTTTGAATTCAAAATTCGCCCTGATTATTTCATGGCCCAGAACCATACACGGGCTTGGGACATCTTCAAGCAGTAACGCGAGGCGGTGGGGTAGTCTAATGGTTAAAGCTTACGCTCGTCACGCCGAAGACCCGGGTTCCATTCTCCACATGGGTTAAATGTGTGAAGCCATTTCTGGTGTCCCCTGCCGTGACAATTATTGCTGGAATATTGCTAAAAGCGGCGTAAAACTCCACTCACTCACTCTCTCCAAGCAGTAACGCCTTAGATGATGAAGAAAAACTCGTATACATGTAAATGTCTTGAGATCAACACATGTCAGGCTCAGAACGTATCGATCACCCAGTAAGGAAAATACTCAATTTGTCAAAAACTGAATTTATGGGAAACACAGGTGTTGTGCATTTATTGATTTATTCACGAAACGTGAACAAGGTATTTTTAGTATTTAAAGCAGATGTCGCCAGTGTTTGATGTATAAATACTGTTTGATTACTGCATATGCATAGATGAGATCCATTGATATAGATATATAATACAATAACAAGTATTACCAATCCAATAAAGGTGTTGTCACTCAGTGTATTGATACGCCGTTTCTATGGGTAATTCACTGAATGATCATCGATGTTTTAAAGAATAACGTATGGTAAAGAGATAACAACCCCGACGTATTTCCGAATCGTATCTATGAAATATATTGCAGTGTTAGAAACCTTTAAAAAATTCCCACTTGACCACTCCAGTGAGTGGCCCTGTCTGTACGTCCCATCCTTGTATGTGTCGTAAGAGGCGACTAACGGGATCGGGTGGCCGGTCAGGCTCGCTGACTTGGTTGACACAAGTCATCGGTTCCTAATTGCGCAGATCGATGCTCATGCTGTTGATCACTGGATTGTCTGGTCCAGACTCGATTATTTACAGACCGCCGCCATATAGCTGGAATAGAACTCACTCATTCACTGGTCCAAAATAGCGTGATATGATTGCATTCGGAATGTACTTTTTATTTTGTTATCCTCTCGGACCACATCAAACTTATCATTTTGTGATCCTGATGATTTCAAGTATTTTATCATTTACATTTCTTGTTACAATATGTGTGATCATAAAGTCTGGTTTCTTACTTGATCATCCAGACACAGTATAAGTTTGAAAGAGAAATTAACAGCTTCAAATCACGCACCTGCTTGTCACAAATGTGGCTTCATAACGTTGTACTTTCAAACACTGAGGAACTTTTAACCAATATGTATAGTTTAATAATACTGATAATAAACAGAAGGTAAACGTTGGAGGTAAGGGGTTAATCTAATCTAATCTTGTTTGTGTGTTGTTTAACCCCGCACTCAGTAATATTCCAGCTATGTGGCGGCGGTCTGTAAATAATGGCGTCAGGACCAGACAATCCAGTGATCAACAGGGTGAACACCGATCTATGTAACTGGGATACGATGACATGTGTCGACCAAGTTCAACCAATAATCCCATCTAATCAGTATAATACTGTTAACGTAGAAACCATTATGTATTAGCTTTGGCACCTCTACTTTGGATTATCTGATGATCTTTCACCTATGGTTCGGCGCTCAAGCGTGTCATTCACCAACACTGTAACGAGGCTAATTGGATACTGATTATTGGATATACTAGTAGATAATCCGTACGACATGAATTTAATACGTTGCCCTCTCGCGGGAGTACCACGTCCGATTCCGGGTTAGAAATGACCCCCAGTAACTCATGCAGGTGCGGACGAAGTTACATGATTGACTGGGCACGATCGTACACTTCCGAATGATTCATTGCTCATTATATCAGTCACTGGATTGTCTGGTCCAATTACTTCTAATACTTCTTATTTATTTATTTATTTCAATTTTAAGAATATCAATTATTATTATGTTTTTATTTATTATTATATTTTTTATTTATTTATATACTCTTTTTTTTTACTTTTTTTTTTTGGGGGGTGGGGGTGTATTGTTGTAAGCGGCGTTATATAATACGTAGCAGCCTTACTTATACACATCTGGCTGTATGAACTCACTACAGAGAAAATACTGAATTTGTGAATAACCGTGTACGACAGTGTATGAAAGAGGCCAACTGTTAACTTTATAAGTGGCTGTCGACTGACTTCCAGCTGTCACCTTATATCTGGTGGATTCAAGGGGTCCTATTGATTACCTTATAGGATATGTACACACTAATCTTGTTAATACCAACTAATGTACCGAGAAACCATTTAATATCAATTCCAGGAGCTATGAAAATATTTCATTTTCTCCATTGTTATTGTTTTTAAGCCCCAGGTTACAGGCTACCCCAACCATTCACGACGCGTAACGGTTCATTAAATTATCTGTTGTACATTGGGATGGAGGTACCAAACTAGTCTGTCTCACAGTCCCTAGACCGCATTAGTTTCCCTTCCACCCAGTGTGCGAAATAGTCACTGGCCCGCTAGCCTGTGGCTAGTAAAAATCCAGTCGGGCCAGTAAATCTCCACAGTCACTGGCCCGACTGGCTAGTGAGTTTTCATGGGGTCATTTCGTACATATATCACTGTCTCCGACTTGTTAAGTTATAATACACTTTTAAATCATGCAAGATTATGGCCTGATGAAAATGTTCATCATATTAGCAGGTTAATGATGAAACCCGTGTCTATATTCAGGTGTCGGACTAGTGAATTATTATGTGGGCTAATAACTTTCAGGCATAGCTATCCCGACTGGCTTGCAAAATTTGGAAACTATTTCGCACACTGCTTCCACCCATCCCTCTCTGCAATGCTGAAGCCCGTAATGAAGCAAGTCTAGATTACCTCTGAAACTCCCATCTCACTGGGGCTCCTTTTTCAATTCAAAAGGAATTATTTGTTTCTATCAAAATTAGTCTGGTATCAAAGTATCGCTCTGTCCGGTTTACTTTCGCAGTTGTTTGATCCATTTGCAGTGGGTTCGACTCCCCGAGGGCCGATTAGGTAGTCTTGTGGTAAAGCGTCACGTCGGGTCTCCCCTGCCATGATAGTGCTGGAATATTGCTGAAAGTGGCGTAAAACCCAACTCTCTCAAATCCCCGAATCATCCAATTAGGTTCTTGGGTTTATCAGCAGTATGGCCTGTACTGACGGGTTTCACCTACATGGTATTAGTGGAAAACCTCTGGTATAACGCTGACAAGGATTAATATATTTATAATGCTGCATACATTTTCCATAATCATCGGATAAATGATGGTTCCGGTTTAAACACATGTAAAGACAAATGGTACAATAGGGAATCCCAGCCTTTGTAAGAACTTTCTATCACTGTGCAGGCCAGTCTGAGATATGCAGGCGTTCAGGTTAGAATAGGTCCCAAACAATCTGTAATGGCCATAAGTGGCAACCTTGATGGACCTGGTTGCCAATCTCGGAGACTTGGCTCATTGCGTGCCATCGTATGCTGATAACACCTTGTCCACACACATTCACGTCTGAATAATAATATACGTATGCTTAACCTCACGTTTGCATTAATAACTGCTTTTATGCGCATTACATGCAAATACTGTAACTTAAGTTTTGTCAGTTTGTAATGAAGAGGTTTGTCTATTGAGAGTAACTGAAAAATTATTGCCCTGAACATTGTGTGATATTTTCTGCACCAAAGGTTATGAAGGGTTATGTAGCACTGGTAAAAGTGGTCTCAAACTGCGTTTGATTCACTTCAAGGGTACGATGTGGGAAGTTCATTTCTTGTGTATACCGTCGTGATGTTGGAATATTGCTAAAAGCTGCATAAAACAACACTCATTCGCTTTGTCAGGAAATGCAATGTACTCTATATTTAAATGGTGTATACCTGTATCCGATTTAGATTCATGTTAAAATGGGGGCGGTGGGGTAGTCTAGTGGTTAAAGCGTTCGCTCATCAAGCCGAAGGCCTGGGTTCGATTCCCCGCATAGGTACAATGTGTGAAGCCCATTTCTGGTGTCCCCCGCCGTGATATTGCTGGAATATTGCTAAAAGCGGCTTAAAACCCAACTCACTCACTCATGGTAAAATGTGCTTGTCTCTGTTTCAGGTTCGGGTTGGTCAGTGGCTTGGCCTCGTGGTCAAAGTTGCGTGGGCACAACGACGACGACTGGATCGACCGCATCAACCACCTATGGACGGTGGTGTTGTTGACGATGTTCACTGTGGTGGTCAGCAGTGCCCAGTACGTGGGCGAGCCCATACACTGCTGGTGTCCAGCCACCTTCACTTCCGCCTACATCTCCTACACCAAACACATCTGCTGGGTGTCCAACACCTACTACCTACCCATGAACGACGTCATCCCCGTCGACATCCGGGAACGACAAGAACGAGAGATCACCTACTACCAATGGGTGCCGATCATATTCCTGTTCATGGCTCTCATGTTCAAGATACCAAATTTCGTATGGAGAGTGTTCAATAGCGGTGCGGGGTTAAACATGGAGAAAATTGCCACCTTGGCAGAGAGCACCCAAATGGGGTCCCCGGATGAGAGGGAAGTCACTATAAAACATATAGCTTCGTATTTGGACAAGTGGCTGCGGGCGCATAGGCAGTACCACTACAACATCATCGTACGTGTTCGTCAACGACTGTCTGGCGTGTGCTGTTGGTGGTTCGGGAAAAGAGATGGTACTTACCTAACAGGCTTCTATCTGTTCGTGAAACTCCTCTACTGCATCAACATCATTGGCCAGTTCTTCCTCCTCAACGCCTTCCTCTCCATCGACTACAACCTGTACGGCTTTAACGTCATCGAACGCCTGATGACGGAGGGGTCTTGGAAGGAGTCTCCACGCTTCCCACGAGTTACGTTGTGCGACTTCGAGATACGGCAGCTACAGAACCTGCAGAGGTGGACAGTCCAATGCGTCCTCCCCATCAACCTCTTCAACGAGAAGATCTTCATCTTCATCTGGTTCTGGCTCTTCCTCATCGGGCTCATGACCTGTTGCAACTACGTGTCTTGGCTGTACCACATCATCTTCAGGCAGAACAGAGTCAAGTACATCAAGAAGTACCTGCGCATGAACGACGACCTGCGGACAGGGGCCGACCTGAAATTATGCAAGAAGTTTGCAAATGAGTACCTGAGGGACGATGGCGTGTTTGTGTTACGGGTCATCCAGAAGAACTCGACAGACCTGGCTCTCAAGGATCTGTTGTTCCACTTGTGGAGGTTGTTCAAGGACACGCCCTACACCACGTAAACCCTCTGCTCACGCAGTGGAGATGAACCATAAGGAGAAGGGGAGGAGGATGAATCTTTTGCATAGAAAAACAGCTTCCATTGGCAGCTTTGCGGTGCTTATCTGAACATTAACGTGATACATACCCTGGCCATTATTGTTCAATACTGCTCAGAGTATCAATACTGTGAGAGTGCTCAAGTGACGTTAAGAGATTTAAAAGCAGACACAGTTAGTGATGATTGCGCACGGTTTTGCTCAAACGTGAACGTTATTAATATACAGTGTCTTCCAGTGATGTCGTGGAAGGATATTCAACCACTTCAACATTAAGATGAGGTCCAAGTGTTGTGTGCTGTGGGCGACTTTCGTTGCCTTATTCTGACTGGTGCTATACAGTTACCACATCCCCACCGTATATGGGTTTATTGACCTATGTCCCGTACTATGCACACTTCAATGGCATTATACAACACTGCTCAGACGGTGCCTTCCACGAAGGGCCACAACTTTGGCCTTTGTTACTGTCGGTGCTCATTGTTAGATCTGTAGAACTCGCCAGTACAACAAATCGCCCACAAATCCACGTGGATGCATTTTGTACGTCATATCCCAGTTTGTTAATAATGATGTTTTGATGATGCCAAATTAAGAATTTCTAGATTTGTATGTGATATGCCCCGAGTATTACAGTAGATCGTTATGGATATGTGATAGACTGGTGTTATACAAGACAATGATCTCGGTCTACACAAGTCGCTCACGAACTTTAGGCCACATTAAAAAATACTTTTGTTTCTCATCACGTTTTAAAATAAATATGGGTAGGGCGGGCGGATTTTCTTTTTACATTGTATTATATTTTATGTCCAAAACCCCTTGATTTTCTGTGGAAATTTACACCTTTTCTCCCATAGGGAATCAAAACTTAGAAGCGTGAAAAATTCATGCAAATGTTGAGAGTCAAATTTGCATTTTCTCAAGTGTGAAACATGTAAGAAATCTCTTAGTCGGGCGGTCATGAGAAACAGGAATATTTTTATATATGGCCTTTGTTGTTCTCGTTAACTCGTGTATGCTGATATATCAGTGCGTTCTAAGGTTTCAATATTTACATCGAAAGTTAAATATTATCGTAGATCTATTACAGATTGAGTATGGGGATAGAGGTGTTCAATGGTTTCTGTCACCCATCTTTATTATGAAGGGTATTCCCCTTCAACATAGTCTGATATGATAACTAGCATGGTCCCATTCCCCACCGTTGCTCCAAGCTTTGCTAAATTTAGCTGCCAAATCAAATTATTCTCATGAGACAAGACATCATTTCAAGATGATGTACTGACGAATCGGACCAGGATGTAAGTGATTATAGAACGTTGATACAATATACTGATGATTGAGGATGACAGTCACTACCAAATCGACATAAGGAAAATTGACTGCTTCTTCGAGGTGTGACCCTCTACTCTGCATGTATTTTTCATATGACCTTAATATACTGAGAGAAACAAATAAAGGAACACATGAAAATTCAAGTGTTCCTTTAATATTTTCCAGTTTTCATCACCAGCTTTGAATAGCGCTGTGGGAGGAAATCTGAGAATAAATAAAGGAACACTGCCATAAAGTGGTGTTCCCATAATTGTTTCCTTCAGTATATTTGTTATTTTCACTATGTAATATTTACCGGTTAGCAACTGTACGCACTCAAATAATTGTCAAATACGCGTTGTGAAACCTTTCCCATCGCACTGATGTAAACTAATTTGATTGGCAAAACAGAATATATTTTCTTTCCGCGGTGATGCAAAGTAATTCACAAGCTGTGGAAATAGCTTGTGTGTATTTAAATCCCACATAATTACGAATAATTGTTCTCACCACCATACCGAATAAGCCTATTAAACACACACAGTAGACCACACTGTGCCAATGGGACGTGGTACGTTTCTAATAGTTTATACAACTGATGCTATTGTGAATGTTTATGCCGGAAAATGCCAATATTACTTAAGCGTCGGTATGGTAATAGGCCATTTTCATCGCCAGGTTATTCAGTAGACCTAGTTATAGCTGGAATATTGCTGAGTGCGGCGTAAAACTAAACTCACTCACTCAGTAGACCAAGTTGATTGACAGAAGTATGGTTTCCACAAAGACGTTTTCCCTAATTCGGGGCCGTGGGGTAGCCTAGTGGTTAAAGCGTTCGCTTGTCACGCCAAAGACCCGGGTTCAATTCCACACATGGGTACAATGTGTGAAGAGCATTTCTGGTGTCCTCCGCCGTAATATTGCTGAAATATTGCTAAAAGCGGCGTAAAACCATACTCACTCACTCACTCCCTTTGTGAAACACCGCATGGACGTTTCTCACTAATTCATCCAAACATGGTGCCTTCCTTGAATATTCAAGCGGCTTGTATGCAAACAAATGTTTAATGGTATATTTACCATTTGTGCTTTAAAATGGCTACAGTTTACATTGTTATTCGTCATATAACCGAATGATATATTTAAACAAGATTTATTTTAAATGCATCTGTATGGATGCAGAGACCATATAATATGGTCTCTGATGAAGCTATGCAAGCCAAGTGAGTGTAATTAATTTCAACTACATGTATGTGCATACTATTTTTCTCTCTATTATATAAATTGATCATTCCTGTACAATGCATTTCCATGTTCAACTGCCAAACCTGTAAACATTCACACCAAGTTTGTACTGCATATAGAGTACGTTTACTGTTTCATACTTGAGAGATCTATCATTCCTTTCTAAGTGCATTGCCACATACTGGAGCGATATTTTCCTGTTTATTTGTAAAATACTACATTCCCATGCTTTGGAAACTTGATGTTGTGTGCATGGTAGATAGTACCTTTCTGCAAAGCCCACCGATGGAACATTCACTGCTTGGGAATAAGGAACGTGGGATCGAGGAATTGGTTGAGAAGGACGTTCCTTCACCGGAACTTGAATAACACTTGGTTTCCCGGATTGACAAATCTCGTCAATGGTCATGAACACTCGTGTCATTCGGAGACCAATCGGAATGTCTTCTTCCATTTTTAGGATAAACGTTATCTAGCGGTGACAAGAGGAACTGTCATGTTTGTGATCCTGCTCCTTTTATAAATCCAATGTCCTGCGCTTCAAAAGCTAGTTTTACTTTGTAACCAGTCAAAATCACGATTTATGTTTTGCAGTTGTAATATGAAACCAGCTTACTTTTGGTTAAGGTAATTTTCACTTCTTTTCGATTTTATTGATAAATGATTTGTTCTGATTAACGTAGATTTGGTTTACTGAGAGGTTGATCGATATAGAACGATGCAGTTTTCAGTGCTTAGACCAAACTGATCATTATTGTCGGACAGGTAGCTCGTCGGAGGTTCACTGTTCCTGGAAATAGGTATCGTGTCTTTAGTATCGATACAAAACAGAGGTAAATGGCGTGGGTGAATATATTTGTGTAAAAGTTTCTGGTACATACACACTTTTGGAATATATCTGAACTGAATGGGTGTCTTTTTTATTTCCCTAAGTAGTAACGTTTATGGCGAAAGTCGACCCGTGCTTGACAGTGCCTAGCTGACATAGCGGGGATTCTCGTTACAGCTCCTCTTATTCAAATATTTGGGTTTTTTAGTTAATTCTTTGTTGCCAACTTGCCATGTTTATTATTAGTTTCAATATTATGTACCCTGTTTACAAGAGTATACTGAGTGTGCGGTCATTGACCAGATTGTTGTTTCCGTTGTCCGAAGCGATTACCAACTGGTTGACCTTTCTAGTCGTGTCGTGCCTGTGTAGTTGATGAGTATATATATGACAGCTATGTAAAACGGCCATCATTACGTATCATGGGGTATATCATCTCTCGTTTATGGCATGTGGAAATAGGGTTTTGAGCTATTTGATATTTCCGTTGCCAACTAACTACGTCATGAATCGGTATAGCCACTTTGTCAACTTCAATTCATCAAATGTTCATTCACGATCGTCTCAGTATAATATTTGTGCAACAAAAACACAAATGTTACAAGAAATTGATCGTTGATTCTTTTATGCAGGTTGTACAAGTAACGACTGTGCGTATTTAGGTCATCTTTTTACTGCAGGTATTCCAAATGGTCGAGACTCATAACGCTCCGAAAATGAAATCCTTTTATCTGTTATGATAGTTGCTTGATATCCATGGCCAGTAAGAGTAGGGTTTCAGGAACCACAATGGCCACCGAGCGTTGACCGAGCGCGACCGATACCCAGCTCTAGACTCTAGTTTCGGCGGTCGATCAACTTTGTATATTGTATGAAAAGCCTTTATGGTACAGCAATACAAGTGCCTAGCGCCAAATACCAACCGAGCCATAGAATAGTGTATATCTAACTAGGTCAGACAACGGTGCTACCATTTCAGCGTTTCTCATTTTATCCAGCTGAACATTATTCATTAAAGGGGTGCATTACTTTTACAGTCGATATAAGTAGACATTATAATTACTTCACTTATAACTGGGCGTAAGTAACAGTAATGACATGAATAATCAAGTACATGAACATTCATTGTACAAGACAACGTTTAAGGAAGTGTGGCGTGCTACACACGACTGATTTTACGACGCTTCATGTAATGTCTAGTCATTTCGCCTTTGTCCATTACAGTCGGTTGTCAGTAGTTAGACTTCTTTGCATTTGTTACTTGCACCAGTTTTGTGTTTTTGTACATATTAAGTTTGTTTCGTTTTTATATTTCTCTCAATATGTAAATATTTTGCCGATTAGAATTGTTGAACTATTGTACTACACCTTGTTGCGTCGCACGTGGAGATTAAGAAGGTGGGGCTCATGCTTGAGAACATGATATCATACCCTTGGGTGCCGAAGATGACGAGGCTTTTATGCTGTAGTATGTTGCATGGTTGTTGTTACCTTAGTTTATAGACTGTCAGGAAATACCGCCTACAGCATAAAGTATTAACATTTACATAAGCGTTCGTTTGTGAATTACTCGTTAGTTTCACATGGACCAAATCTTAATGCATATACAATACAATACTTTCGAATCAGTGTATAATTAACATGACAAAATAAAGTCATGTTCCTTTTTGAACATTTTTCTTTAATCACTTGCAGTTTAGATACTGGTTCTGTTAAGATAAATACAAGTCCTCGTCTATATGTATACGGCTGTATGCAATTGCATGTCCAGTATTCTCAATGGCCAAACTGTCTCAATTTTGACATTATATTATTAAACTTATTTTTTGTATCAAACTGTTGTTTTTGTTGTCATTGTTTGCTAGTTACTTGACTGTATAGATGGGTGAGTGAGCGAGTTCGGTTTTACGCCGTACTCAGCAATATTCCAGCTATATGGCGGCGGTCTGTAAATAATCGAATGTGGACCAGATAATCCAGTGATCAACACTATGAGCATCAATCTACGCAATGGGATACGATGACATGTGTCAACCAAATCAGCGAGCCTGACCACCCGATCCTGTTAGTCGCCTCTTACGACAGGCATTGGTTCCTGAAGATCAAATCGAACCCAGATCTTCACAGATTGACAGTATAGATGAGTCAGAAGGAAAATAGACCCTGAAAACACGTTGGTCATTACGGGGTGGTCAAGATCAAGATGTTTTATTGCACTTAAGACGTCTGGCCATGTGCAAGAGTGCAAAGAGGTAATATCAAGGAGTACACACCTATAGAAGTGGGTGTATCTAACTAGTGTACAATTGACGTCACGAAACTACATAATTCTTTCGCCGACAAAGTGCAGGGTGAAGAAATAGTGCCACCCTATGAATTGTTTTTCCACCCTTAGATTTCAACAGAGATCTACGTGAACAGAAAATATGGTGAACGCAGGTATTTCTGTGGGACACACCACCCATCAGTATAAACAGTACAAACAAATAGTATATCATCCTCTATACAAGCTAAAAAAGATACTGTCTCAATGCTTTCGGTGAAGAAAGCTGTCGTCCAATTTTAACCATTACGTCAAATAATGATGAAATCTTGAATCTGTAATTTGCTTGTGATATTTTAATACAAATCCCTGTTCAATTAAGGATGTAACAGATCTGTACGTGGCATATCTTGAGCTGTTTCAGGTTTTGCGCTGGAGTCGTGCTGAAACGTGAGTAAGTGACGTTCTATGAAATTATCTTTAAATACTCTCGGTATTACCAATTTCTAGATACACCCATACATAATGAAAACCATGAGCAAACAGTACATAACGGATATTTGATGACCATATTGTGTATCCATGGGTGTTTCAATTATCAGGGACCGCCTCCGTGGTGTAGTGGTTAGAGCGTCCGCCCGGAGAGCGGAAGGTCGCGGGTTCGATCCCAGACCGCGTCACACCAAAAGACGTTAAAATATGGTACTTGTTGGTCCCTGCCTGGCGCTCGGCAGTAATGGGTACAACAAGGACTGGTCGGCTCGGAGTCAGTATAATGTGTCAGTGGGGTATTCATGCTTTACTGCGGCATGGTATCTCAGTGAGCTAGCACTATAAAACCAGCTTAAGTCTGGGCTAGTACAAGCAGCCGCACATACACATACACACGCATGCACGTCGTTATATGAGCGAAATATTCTCAAGCACGACGTTAAACCCTATTTCACCTCACCTTAAATTATCAGAAGCATTTTGTATGACTTTCTGAGCTGGTGGTATTTTTTGTAAACCAATTTTCTGACATAAATAGTATTCCACCTCTCCGACACAGAACCATATGCATGTTTGTTTTCTCTGTTGTAGTTTTTTGTTTCTTTGTCATTTTGCACGATGTGTTAGATGATGCAAACGGCTGTAAAAACGAAGAGAGACAAAGGGCTAAGAATGTTTCACGGAACATCGGTGTCGGAACCCTGGCCCATGTGTCGTTGCTTAAACATTTTAAAATCAATTAATATTATGAATGTCAGAAATGCATCTTGTTTATACCTTTACACAAGGTGTAATGATGTATATACAATAGTACATTTGGACATTCGTGCTTACATATTTCGAATTTAATTAATATTACGAATGTCACCATAGCACTATTGTTTATGTATTAATTCTGTGTGTCGGCGGTAAATATATGCAGATAACCCAGGTTGCATGGTTCAGTTCGAACCTACCTACCACATACTGACCACCCTCAGTCCTGTACGGCAGGAAAAGTATATGATAATACTGTCTGGATGATACACTCACTGGAGCAGGAGCTATACATGTATGTAACACCACAGCGTACAAGTATACTCATATACTTAAAGTACACTCCGTGAAGCATAAGGTCAAGAGAAATTAGTGCTCATATTACATCGCTTAGATCTATCTTTACCCAGAATGACAATGACAAGTACAAGACAGAGTTGTAAATATGTGAACGACATACCTGAATGAATTGTTTCAATCCGTGTATGTATTCTATACTTATATTTTGAATGTACCACAACCGATAGTCTGTCTCACAGTCCCTGAACCACATTATTTCCCCTACTGCCTAGCCCTCTCTGCAGTGCTAAAGCCCTAAATAAAGCAAGTCTAGATTTCCTCAGGTTCTGAATCTCTGGTTTCCCTAGGGCTCCTTTTCAATTTAAATGGGCTTGTTTGTTACTATCAAAATTATATATATTCAGACACTAAGCATTAGTCTACACAACCGAAAGCATTGTTTCTTTCCCAACGTTAATTAGAGTTATTTCCCTTGGATTGTAATTCATGTAGTCTAAACTATGGAACCGCCTATTCATCTCTGATATACCTAGGGATGTGTTTTAAATGAACGATATAATATCATTCAGGCACACTGATCAAGTTAAATATATTTTACATCACTAATGAAAGAAATTATATTTCTGTGTATTAGACTGATCTATGTGCTTACCGTGAAGTTCCCCATTTTGATCGACTGTTTCGGTGAAAAATATTGTGTAAGTTCCACAATGTGCCTAATATAATCCCTACATCACCCGGGGAATACAGGGGTGTATTTCGTCTGTCAGGCCACCCCACCCGATTGCTTTTCAATCGGGGCAGGGGCTTTCAAAAACTGTTTCAGTTATCGAAAAGAACATTTCTACATCGATGTTACTGGTCACAATCCAAATCTGCTTGCTTATCCAAGAATTACTTATCGAGTTAAATAACTTACTAGTGAGTAACGAAATAAATTATTCGTGCCGTAAATTATAATTTTAGGGCTGCCTTTGATCCATGGTATTTTACTCAAAATATAGTTCCATCAATGGTAAAAAAATTCATGAAATGAAAAATTGGAAAAGGCACTTATCTGAGACTGATATCGAAAATTGGTGCCATATGTTTCCCCAGAAAAGTTGTCTTTTCTGTGTATTAATTTCACTGTCAGTATTTGTTCTTATGACATAAAGGGAACCTAGTACCTATTATTTCTGAAGGTTCATTTTCCAAGTTAACATTTGCTTATATAAATGTAGTATTGAGTAGTAGTAGTAGTAGTAGTAGTAGTAGTAGTAGTAGAAGTAGTAGTAGTAGTAGTAGTAGTAGTAGTAGTAGTAGTAGTAGAAGTAGTAGTAGTAGAAGTAGTAGTAGTAGTAGTAGTAGTAGAAGTAGTAGTAGTCTTAGTAGTAGCAGTAGAAGTAGTAGTGGTAGTGGTAGTAGTAGGTAGTAGTAGTAGTAGTAGTAGCAGTAGTAGAGTAGAAGTAGTAGTGAGTAGTAGTAGTAGTGAGAGTGAGTAGTAGTAGTAGAGTAGTAGTAGAGAGTAGTAGTAGCAGTAGTAGTGGTAGTGGTAGTGAAGTAGTAGTAGTAGAGTAGTAGTAGTAGTAGTAAGTGGTGGTGGTGGTAGTAGTAGTCAGTAGAGTAGTAGCAGTAGTAGTAGTAGTAGTAGTAGTAGTGGTAGTGAGTAGAAGTAGTAGTAGTAGTAAGTAGTAGTAGTCGTAGAAGTAGTAGCAGTAGAAGTAGTAGTGGTAGTGGTAGTAGAGGTAGTAGTAGTAGTAGTAGTAGTAGTAGTAGTAGTAGAAGTAGTAGTAGTAGTAGTAGTAGTAGTAGTTTATTTTAAAAAGTAATATACGCCATGGATCCATGTTGCACATCGAGAATTACAGACTGAGAAAATATGTTATAATGAAGACTGTCTCAGTAACATAGCTTGATATATACTCATTGATGAATGTTTAAGATTCTAGCATTTGATGATCGCAGAAGCATATTAAATCTGTGGATTGTTGGATGCTCATCAACTTGTAAAGGAATGTACAAACGCCGCAATGCTTGATATTTATTACAAATAGGTAAGAAGTGATATTCATCTTCTATATGTGGCAGTTTACAGATATTACATACTGAGTAATCTGTAGTTTCTGGCTTCTCCAATGTACCTGCCAGTTTCTATTCGTAGTTTATGTGAGCTCGATCTAGCCCAAGGGTGCTACATGAATAGTCATAATTGTAGCGTGCAGCGAGGATAGGATAGTGATAACGATATATAAAGACATATTTTCATTTAAATTGAAGAAGAGCCCCAGTGAGTTCAGAGATTTTGAACCTGAGGGCTAGACTTGCTTCATGAAGAGTTTTTGCATTGCAGAAAGGGTGGGCAGAAAGGAAAATAAAGTGGTTCAGGGACTGCGAGACAGACTAATGCAGTGTACAAATACATTCGTACATAAATGAGCGAATACATTATATCATAAAATACTTGTGATAACTTCGTGCTGTCATGTATGGAGTGGTTAATGTCAGTGTCTGCACATATGGCAACGCTTTCATGCACTCGACATTTCAAAATGCGCGTTGCCAATGGCAACCGACGACCGCGTATATTCCCCGTCTCGCTGCGGTGACAAATGCACAACGCCCTGACCCGGGCTGCACATTTCACAACCACAGTTGCAGAACACGTCGTTACTGCGACCTGTTACACCACCCCCTCGCACTAAACTGTCACAGGTCAAAGCCGAGGGTAACGAAACAGACGTGTTGAGACTCCAGGCTGTTTGATGTCTCTGCGTACATTGAGTCTCAGATCTTTGAAGCTCTGTGTGATTTGATGACTATAATGTTCGAATTCCTATGAACATTCAGCTGTAAATTTAAGTTCAGTGTGAAGTATAGTGAAAGCGAAGGGTGGTATGGTATGGTGAAGACGTATGTTTGTGCCCTTAAACCTACAGTGGTCTTAGAATATACATGAGTGGGCGGAGCACAGACGTATTATGCATGGTCAGATATTCTGAAGCAAGGCGAAAGCATGGTGTGGTGTTTTGAAGTAAGGCTACTCAGGGTCTGTACGAGAACAGGCGAAGCATGGTGTGGTGTTTTGAAGTAAGGCGACACATGGTGAGATATTCTGAAGCAAGGCGAAACATGGTGTGGTGTTTTGAAGTAAGGCGAAACATGGTGTGGTGTTTTGAAGTAAGGCGAAGCATGGTGTGGTGTTTTGAAGTAAGGCGACACAAGGCGAAACATGGTGTGGTGTTTTGAAGTAAGGCGACAATGGTGACATGGTGCATGGGTGTTTTGAAGTAAGGCGAAGCATGGTGTGGTGTTTTGAGGTAAGGCGAAGCATGGTGTGTGTTGTTTTGGTGAGAAGGTGGTGTTTTGAAGTAAGGCGAAACATGGTGGTGGTGTTTTGAAGTAAGGCGAAACATGGTGTGGTGTTTTTGAAGTAAGGCGAAACATGGTGTGGTGTTTTTGAAGTGAAACAAGTAAGGCGACACATGGTGTTTGAAGTAAGGCGACAACATGGTTTTGAGGTAAGGCGAAACATGGTGTGGTGTTTTGAAGTAAGGCGACACATGGTGTGGTGTTTTGAAGTAAGGCGACACATGGTGTGGTGTTTTGAAGTAAGGCGAAGCATGGTGTGGTGTTTTGAAGTAAGGCGACACATGGTGTGGTGTTTTGAAGTAAGGCGAAACATGGTGTGGTGTTTTGAAGTAAGGCGACACATGGTGTGGTGTTTTGAAGTAAGGCGAAACATGGTGTGGTGTTTTGAAGTAAGGCGAAACATGGTGTGGTGTTTTGAAGTAAGGCGAAACATGGTGTGGTGTTTTGAAGTAAGGCGAAACATGGTGTGGTGTTTTGAAGTAAGGAGAAACATGGTGTGGTGTTTTGAGATAAGGCGAAACATGGTGTGGTGTTGAAGTAAGGCGAAACATGGTGTGGTGTTTTGAAGTAAGGCGAAACATGGTGTGGTGTTTTGAAGTAAGGTCGAAACATGGTGTGGTGTTTTGAAGTAAGGTGAAACATGGTGTGGTGTTTTGAAGTAGCCACTAATTCTGAAAACAGGAATTACGGTGAACTTTGGAATAGCACAACACAGCTGGGGCACTCAAAGGAACAACTTGTTTGTCTTCGTTGAAAGCCACTTCCCAAATTGTTTACCTGCACGCCTAATTCAGTATCATCAGATGTCAGGTTACATGTAGTATAGCACCAGCAATGCGAATGCGTTCAGTCAGAGTGAGTGAGTTTAGTTTTACGCCACATTTAGCAATATTCCAGCAACGTCACGGCAGGGGACACCAGAAATGGGCTTCACACAATATACCCATGTAGGGAATCGACCCTGGTCTTCGGCGTGACGAGCGAACGCTTTAACCACTAAGCTACCCCAACACCCCTGGTTCAGCCAGAGACCATATACTAATCATCATATGGTCTCTGGTTAACAGGTAAACAGACGGCGCATTATGCTACATCACATCATAATAACTCGTAGAATCAGTGTATTAAAAGTTTATTTCGTTGTTACTATATATTGTTAAACCCAAGTCCATATTCACAATAGCAGAAATCACAAACCATATAACATACAGTATCACATAGCTTCACATCGGGAGAACCTCTTGTCATCATACGCAGAATTCGTCTTCCTCCAATGTAAATATGGCAATATCCCAGTCACTCGAGTAAACAAACAAAATTAATTATAGCTTTGTTAGTACCAGATGTGAAAGGCACTGGATATTAAAGCACTTCTTTACATTCGTATGATATGTGAAAGATTTGATTACAAGTCATTCGTCACTTGATCATGAAACTCGCGCTTTCATATTCGCTCAGTCATTAAGCTCACTTCTTCATACACATAAAATACCTTACGCCAATAAAACCCTCAAGAACGTTTGTTGCCTTAAAAATAGAAATCAGAAAATGTAAATAATAAAACAAACCTTCCGTGTTTCTATTCATTAGATTCAGTATGTCGATGACAGGGCAAGAACGTGTTGTGAGATCTTTGTTGCGGTTATTATACATTGAATAAAAACATTAAAATGAAATTAAAATTTTAAACATTCACAACAACTCAACAAACAGATATAAGGTCGTTTGAAACGTAAGAGAACAACAGTCTTTGAACTTTTGATATCATGATCTTAGATTAAAACAGTATTATTTATTTCACAATATACAAAACATAGCAATGGATCTTCTTAATTTCGCCCAAAGGAGCCATGAATGGAATTTGTGTGGCGATTTCTTGTTCACGATTTCTTTCAAGGAAAAGTACTAAGGTCACAATATAAAAAGGCGCCCTGAACATGTTTGAGTATTGTGATGAGATATCGTCATACCCTCAGCACGTAAATGACAAGATACAAAATATGATTGTCTCAAAACATGGAGACGAACGTTATCGCACTCTGAAAGAGAATGAGTTGTAATGTAACAGAAACCGTCCACCATAATCCATAAAATAGTGATATATTTACGGGTAATATTGCTATCGGTATATTCCACTAAGTGGAGAATAAAGTGTGCCCCTCATCAGAATAACATGCACATGTTGTTACAAGCGATGACATGACGTTTAGCCACCATTCTTATAAAAAAATAAGAAGATTTATATATCTAAAGTTCGCAACGGTACTTATAAGACACCTTTTTTCCCTAAAGTACCCGGATGATGATGGTAAGAGACATGTTTGACGTACCGGATGTTGGCGAAAAGAAAAATGTTCACGAATAATGATAAGAGAACCACCTTATCGCCCCCAGAAACTATCACAGACTAGATGAAGGGTTTCTTTGCTATATACAGGTATTCACAAAGCATAAATTTACGGGAATGTGAAATTCGTAATATACTTCACATAAAGGTTCTGCATATGTCATATCACAAGCGATTAAAACTGAATTAATGTATTCTGTACATTCATACGTCGTGGAAGACTTTGATCACGTTGCCGAGTATGCATGTTCGACTCTACTCTTGGATCATAACGGGTTAATATACATGACCCTTTTTAATAGTACTTATACAATACTAATAGTACTTATACAATACTAATAGTACTTATACAATACTAATAGTATTTATACAATACAGGCGAACCTGTTACCTCGAAAGTGTTACTATCGAAATAATGCTTACGTCGAAGTTGGATATACTAGGTAATGATTACACCAAATGTCAATTTAACGAAGTCAAGGCTACATGGAAGGTCAATGTCACATACACAAGGTCAGGGTCACGAGGTAAAGGTAACAACGAATATGGTTGTGTCGTGATGTACATCTCGAGCACTAAATTGCCCCACCATACTGCTTTCGTTGCTATAAGCCTGTGACGTTAATTTATCTTTGATTAAGCCCAACATTTCATTTGATTTAACAACTTTGAGATAACAGGAGTAACTGTACATAATCCAGACATGGTTAAATATCACACAATCTATCAATCTATCAGCTATCAGATAATTTCAATAACAACACGAGAAAGTATGGGCCATTTATTAAATGCACATAACATTTCAAAAGCATTGATAAAAACGTACAAAATAATTTGTGACAATATCGTTTTGTGAAAGCGGTGAAATGTATAATACAAAGGCACTAATAAATGGTCAATATTTGATACTACTTCCGCAGACGAAGCACTGTTAAAGGGAGGTAAGTAGTGTCATTGCCAGAGGTAGGCTGAAGATGAACTATCTTCATGTAATATCTATGCCGTTGCCTAGTGCCAGATCAGGCATGTGTCACGTTCCTGAAGATGAGATGTAATAAATGGCAGTATCTTTACATTTAGAGGAAGAGTGAGAAACGACACGTTAATCACGCTAAACGAGTCCAGTAGCAATAACTCCATAGCATTTCATCACATATTGCCCACTTTCACAGCCCTCCTGTGACACAATTATCCGTTTGGTTGGATCTACCCTGGCGATACCCTATATTTTGATATTTGGAGAATACGTTTTGCACTGGCTGCTATTATCTATGTTCTTGATGATCACCTGATTCTTGTGACATCATAGAAACGTACCACTGTATTCAATATATGCCCGTGTGATATAGACTCGTTTTGCACAGGAAGTACGATGGGAGACCTAGCACATGTGAACAACAGTGATTACTTCAAGATGCCATCCTCTTTGCCAAGATGCTGATCCTTGAAGCGATTCCACAGATTATTGACCAGGTCCAAGGCAACTATGTGACCGGTGTTGTTTCGGACCGACCTGAGAAGAAACACTCCATCATCCCTGAGATAATGACTGACGAACTTCTGAAACAGTTTCTTCTCGTGACTGTCATCCGCCACATCGGCGAGACCAATGTACTTGGCAACGAACTGTTCACGTCGTCGTCGGAAGAAAATGTCAAAGACCCATTTGCCGAAGTTGACGACGGTGGCGCACATAAGAAATACCATCCAGAACCAGGCAAAGGCGTACATCTTCTCCACAAACAGGTTAATGGACAGGGCACACTGGACAGAGAACCGTTGGATGTTCTGGAGCTGCCGGATCTCAAAGTCACACATGGCCACCCGGGGAAAGTGCTCCCAGTCCTCCCAATGTCCCTTACTGTTCAGGATGCTCATGATCTCGAATCCATAGCTCCAGAAGTTCCACCCCAGAAATTTTGTCATCAGGAAGAACTGTCCAATGCAGTTGCAGACATTGAGGAACTTGCAGAACAGATACAAGCCAGTGAGAAACGTGCCGTGACGCTTGCCCAACACGAAACACAGTATACCCGATATCTTCTCACGCATGCGTATGAGGATATTGTACTTGTAGACCCTGTAAGTGACCAACCATCGGTCAATGAAGTGACCAATATTTTCAATCTTACCAGCACGTTCTTTTGGAGGAGACAGCATGGCTTCATCCGCCATTCTGACAATTTTCTGAACATTGATCCCCGAGTATGTCTTGACTTCTTTCCAGATGATATTGGGCACCTTGAAGAGGACGGCCTGGATGAGGAACATGACGGCCACCCAACGGTAGAAGCTGATGTCCCTCTCGAATCGATCCTCCACCTTGTAGGGGATGGGGTCGTCCAAGGGGACGTAGTACATGTGTGAGATCCAGCAGTAACCTTCTGTGTAACTGTGGTGGGAACCGGCAAACTGGGCTGGGGTCCAACAGTGGATGGGGTCACCCACGTACTGCTTAGCTCCTACCGCAACACCCAGGGCGGCGAATAACGCCACCGAGACGATGTGGTGGAGCTGGTCGACGCCATCGTCATCCCAGGAACCACGGGATACGGCGATCTTGCTGGCTACTTCCAGTAAAGTTCCTAACCTGAAATATACAATACATTCTCTTATAGATGTATAAACTAGCACATACGATGCAGGTTATGATACAAAGATACATCGGTTGTATTTATCAGTATCTGAGCTACAAGCTGAAATCCCTAAAATAGCCAGGGGAGGTTACGCTTTGGTGATCAAACAGAATGGGATGACACGTTGCATACAGATGCTCTTTCATTCCAACTACTGCCCACACTATGTTGCCATTGCGACCAGCTCATTCTCGTTGAACGACGAATAATAACTTACTCCTATTTGCTTTGAAGTTCCGAGTTTATGAGTGAGGAAGTATGGGTCTCCGATGATTTTAGCAATGATACAACATTATCACTGCGGGGAACACCAGAAATAGGCTTCACACATTTTACCCATGTTTGGAATCGAACACATATCTGTTCACACTTACATGGTTCTAAAGTTGGTAGATCACGTCCAAATGAGCTGAATAAGTGTTTGATCTAAACCTGCAAGAAAACAAAAACATATATCAGTCATGAAGCAACGGTAAATAACATGTAACCTCTATTAATACATGTAGATAGATAAATGAGCTAGGTCAGCGGCACATATATCGTCAATGATAGCGTGATAATACTTTTTTGATACAATATATAATCACACAGTGCAAGAGATACTATTAACAGTGAACCCTACACCGAACCCTTCATTTGTTTCAAGACGGTAGATATAAAGTCCAGGTTATATAGGTGATAGACAACTAGTGCTACCGCCATTACTCCGTTAAACGCCTGTGACCATTGGTTGCATGATACAAATTAAACATAATTCGTGAAATCGAAGCTGTTATAACTGTTATTAATAGATCATCGAACACCTGTATGGCGTGTGACGGGTCTATGTTTCGGGGCTGACAAGAGTACAGCTTCATATCGCCACGTTGTACACGGAATGTGTGACAGGTGCCCGTCATGATGGAGTACATTTGAGCAATGAATCATAAACGAGTCTGGGATATCACTCTGACTTACCTCATAGAAACTATAGAGAAAAATGAATTGGTTACCTTATGAATACACTCTATTTGAGAGTACACTATAGTCTTAGGTGCCACAGAGCATATATATAATAATAAACTCGATCAAATCTGCTTCCCTTTCTCATTTCTAGCATATAACAAGTCCCTCATCAGCTTTAATAGGTTGTACACTCATCATCGCTTATCAGCTCTAGCAGCCTATCCTCCCATCTGGGCATTAAGAGCCCTTTAAATACTCGTTCGTTCCCTTGTGAGATGTATTTAATATCATACACAACTTCATTTCACTAACTATGTGCTAGTATAGATAACTATATGGTTTCAACAACACTTTGTCAGTTTGAGTTGGAAATTTCCCTACATAAAATATCATAACAGTGTGTTGCTTGGAACTTGAGAAAATACACCATTCGGGGTCTTGTACCATGAGAAAATACATCCCTCAGCGTTCATTCTACTGTCGTTGATCCACATCCACGTTCATTCTACAAGCAAAACCTCAGAGAGATCCGTTCTCAGGTATAAATAGACCGGTACAGTCGGTCGACAAACACTGGACTGGTTGTACAACGCTGTCTTTGTGTGTGTGAGGGGAGGGGCGGTTAACAGTAGAATGTGAAACACCGTCCCTTTGTTGCAGTGCCAACTATAATGGTGCATTTTAAAAAATGAAACACACAGAGAGAGAGAGAGAGAGAGAGAGAGAGAGAGAGAGAGAGAGAGAGAGAGAGAGAGAGAGAGAGAGAGAGAGAGAGAGAGAGAGAGAGAGAGAGAGAGAGAGAGAGAGAGAGAGAGAGAGAGAGAGAGAGAGAGAGAGAGAGAGAGATAGATTTCATGAGTTGAACTGTACAAAGGCTTCTGTCCACGGCTACAAAATCTCTGGCAAAAGTTGCTCGAGATCATATTATATGTACCATAGTGCTTTTCAAGCTCACAACTCCACTCTTTAAGGATTTAAATTATAGTATTTTAAGGCCAAACGTTGATTCTGCAAAGACTCTCATAGATAGTGATTCTCCATATAATCAACACCAACATACTCTTGTGTTCCAGTTATTACTTATCACTGGCAAAAGTTGCTCGAGATCTTATTATCATTGTGTTTTACAAGCTGACAACTCAAACCTATTTCTTTAAGGATTTAAATTATGGTATATAAAGGCTAAAGATTAATCTCTACGTAGACTTTTATATCTGGTGATTCACCATATAATCAACACCAACGTGATCATGTTTTCCAGTTACCAGTAAATTAACACTATCACACTTGAGAAGCAAGTTCTATTTGCTTAAGCTTTCGCGTCCAGATATCTTCTGACGATATCATGAGCGCATGCGCAATGCATCAGCCCGTAAGAACGTCACAAGCCCAGTGGGAACTAAAGCCATAAAAGTCTATCTTATATCAAACATGACATGATTTTCGATGAGGTCGAAACTAATAGCACTGTATACCTAAACGTCAGCCGGACAGACATTGGAGATAAATAACTGGCCAAGAAACGGCTTTACGGCTGATTGAGCACATATCTGGAGTGAAATGATCCGATGTTCTGGGTAATTACTCAACCTGCCACAAACTTCCTCCCTCACATGCATGACTGAGTCTAGGCCATGACGACACGCCGACGACGCCAGGACAGGTTTACCTATCTGAACTTGACGGTGTTTGTCGAGCTGTTCCGAATGAGTTAACGCCATTTTAAACTGTTTCCGGTTTATCACAGTGTGCCAGTTTGGCGTTGGTGGAAGCCTAAGACGTTAACCACTGTAGGGAAACCCGAGCACATGATGCTGATGAACCAAGGACCATAATCGGATTGAAGCTGAGATTAGAACTAGCCATCTTCGGGTACTGGCAGCTAAAATTGAGTCAACTGAGCCTCCTTTGCACGTTCAGTATGGTTCTCGTTGATGTCAGCAGAGTGGTACATGTCTGAATCATGCATCATCGTAGGCTTTCATCCCACACGAAGCAGAAATGCCATGCCGTAAGTGAAACACGATGCAAGCGACGTTAAACCGACCCAGTTCTACAAAGGCGTTTCATAAATCTGTAATACTTCGAAACTTTCCCCTCCGTGGCTACAAAATATATGACAAAGTAAATCACAAAATTAGGGCTATATTCTGTGTGTCCGAAGGTGAGAATCTAACTGTATGTGGATGTGTTTTCCGAGTCATGTTATTGGTATACCAACGAAGATGGGACCGCATATCTGTGAAATATGTTTCAATTGTAATAAATTAATAATGTGTGTGCTTATATTGTGCTACTTCCATACCCAAGGTGTATGCTCAAGCGCTAACATTAGCCCGCCCAATGGATCAGTGTGCACTACAACTCAAGTTGACTGTGAGGCGCTAGAAGATTAACAGTCATGAACATCTCACACCACCGGGTACCCATTTACTGCGGGTTGCGCAGAGACAATTTTGACTAAGACGAGACTACATGACTTACACGTGCTTAGTTCCCCAGAAACTCTCAGGTGTCAATCTGCCAGACATGGTCACCCATCCAAGGATTCTCCGCGACCATCGTTGAAAAACTTGAACTGATTAGTGACCTGCGTTCTTTGAGAGACCAGTGTTTGTTTTCAGGATAAATCCTAGCCAAAAAGGTTTATGAATGGACTAGGAATTGCGTCACTGGCGTCACAATCCGCCCCCATGGTGAATCCCGGTAGCAACAGGTGCCCGACAACCTACACTTGTCGCACGGGATACTCGAGTAACTTCAGGATCGGCATCTGAACAACGTGCCTGCTAACACAGTGGGTCGTATATTTAGGAAGGCTGAGACAGTACAATGTCATGTTATCTGGAGGTCGATATATAATGTTGTAAATCTATCGGTTGCCGACTTGTCTGTGCTTGTCAATATCCTAGGTTAGATCAGGTAGATAACACTGCTAATAAGCCCACATTCTTCAGTCCCACGCCTGTGTGAGACGACATAGCTTGAGGCAGACACACACACGTAGAACAAATACAGCCCACAATGTGCAAAGCCCGTGGTGACCCACTTGGGATTGTATATCCAACTTTCTTTCTTAGAGTGCAGAAATATAGGAAGGGCGTTTTAAATGTATTTTGATGAGAGGTAGAACTTAAAGCGGCAAAGGGACGTTTTCTTACATAGCAAAGGGTTGTGGTAAATATTGTTGGTTGATTTCTTTACTGATTCTAAGACCGTACTCTTTATTTCACTCCAATATGATAATATAATAAAGAAGGCATAAACTGAAAATAACTAACGTAAAAAAATGGCAAATTTCCCTCCAAATTTAAATTTTAACTTAATGTCAGCTATGAAAATATTTCTATGAATGAAGCCTCAAGTCTCTAAGGTGAAATCGGTATGTGGATAGGATGTTAAAGCTGAAAAGGGTGGGGTCTGTGCTGCTAGAGACGTGAATGGTTGGTTGGTTGTTTGGCTTGTTGTTTAACGTCGACTCAGCAATATTCCAGCTATATGGCGGCAGTCTGTAAATAATCGAGTCTGGATCAGACAATCCGGTGATCAACAGCATGAGCATCGATCTACGCAACTGGGATACGATGACATGTCAACCAAGTCCCGTAAGTCGCCTCTTACGATAAGCATGGGTTACTGAAGACCAATTCTAACCCTGGATCTTCACGGGTAGATGTGAATGGGGTGAGCATGGGGTGTTAAAGCTGAAAAGCGTCGGGTGAGGAATGAGGATGATTGTTCAATCAATTATACGTTCTGGGGTCGGTAAAAGATAAGAATCATTTCTAATCTGGAAATCCGAATGGGAAGACCAGGGGGAGTTTAGTGTAAAACCCTGTGACATACGTGTGAGTGATTGAGTATGATTTTACACCGCTGTTAGCAATATTACAGCAAGATCACGGCGGGGGACACCAGAAATGGGCTTCACACATTGTACCCATGTGGGGAATCGAACCCCGGGTCTTCGGCGTAATGAGCGGACGCTTTAACCACCAGGCGACATACATGTTATGAAAGAGGTACGTATAATTCTTATATTCAATTACATCGCATCACAGGAAGATGGCCTGCTGGACAACGGTACAAGGATTTGTTTTGAAACGTCGCACTCACGAGACGTTATTAATGCAGCTTGTTCAATACGGAAGTGATACAGGTTTGAGTGAGTGAGTTTAGTTTTATGCCGCTTTTAGCAATATTCCAGCAATATTACGGCGGGGGACATCATTAATGTGCTTCACAAATCAGACGAATCGAACCCGGGTCTTCGGCGTGGATACAGGAAGACAAATATAGAAACATAATATAGGTGAACATGGGATTCGAACCCACAGGTGAGTGAGTATGGCTTTACGCAGCTTCTAGCAATATTCCTGCAATACCACGGCGGGGGACACCAGAAATGGGCTTCACCCATTGTACCCATACGATGAATCGAACCCTGGTCTTCAGTGTGGCTAGAGGACACTTTAACCATTAGGCCACCCCACTGCCCCTCGAACCGACGAGCTTAGGTTTTTGATTTTGATACAACTGTGAAATAAACGACTGTCACCGTATATCTGAAACAAACTGTCCTTCGTGAACATGGAATATGGTCTTTCATGCTGTGGTCACTTCCGGTCAGTACATCTGATATGACCTGGAGCCGATAAATGACAATTGGCTCACATCGTGAAATTAATCAGGAAATAAGACGAAGTAAACGTCTGCTTAAAGCCCCGCGTAGGCAGAATCTGTACAAATATCCCCATGCTACACTTGTATGTCAACATTGGTCATTATAATGTATGAGGAGGATTTAGCGTCTCATCGTGCGCGACAACGTGTCTCCTTGTTCATACGATCAACCAATAGCTGACTGATCCTGACCTGAGTTCTTGAGCTAGATCATCGCGACCTGTCTGCGGCGATAAACAACATCCCATCTATCGGTCACTGGCTACAGTCGATGTTCCTGGAATGTCACCCAGAAGGAACATAGGATTCAGTTTCCCCATAGTATTGGTTTACTACCTCTTATAATGGCGTCTCACCTTTCTCCGTCGGAAAGAGTTCCTTCCGTTCCCCAACTCCAAACCTAACCCTAAAAACTTAAATTTTGGACTTTTAATCATTTTGTGAGTTCTCTAGTAATTGTTGTGTTAAGTTTTGTTTATAATTCTAGAATATTTATACATATTATTTGGGATGGGGGAACGGGAGGACTCTTACCTCTCCGTCAGCCCAAAGACGCGATGAAACAGTTTCCCCTCAACTCTGCACTCCTCTACTCACGATCTACTGTACATCCAAGACACATGTCCAACGAGACGCGCCACGGTCTACTTGCTCCCACATGCATCAGTCACACAGAATTCTTTTTAATGTGACCTCAACTGCCGTGATCTCCATGTATAATGGATTCCGAGAACAACAAGAAGTAGATGTAGGAAGTAGATTTACACGTGGGACCCAGAGCATGGGGTGTCGCTGGATTGCCACACATATTACAACACATTACAACATACCCTTGAGACAGTAAACACTTTAACGAGCGAGGATTAACTCAGCCCTGATCCATGGATATCTTATTAGCTTATTCACCACACAAAGGTAGATGCCCGGCAAGCAGACCAAACAAAGCCCGTCAACACAGTCAGGTTAGAGTGGCGCTGGTGGACAACAGTGAGAGAACTCGCCCGGGGGATGGGGGAGTCGGGGTGTGGGATCTCAGTGATAATTCTTCTGTATTTCATTGTCTCTTGCTACAGTCACGCCTGTCTCGTCGAGGTGTTCTGACAAGCGGAAATTATGTAACCTATTCAGCAATACGATAATCCTATTGTATGGGATATCAACAAGGCGAGGCGGCCCTACCTTGTGACATGTTCCGCACCTTCAATTTACCTGTCAGTAGGTAGAGAGAGGGACCTCTAATTACCTGGCCCAGCAGAAACCTGTTGTCATCAAAGAAACGTGTTTGCTTGACCAGAATGTCTAGCTGAGAGCAGTACAGATACGTGAAATGTTCCCTGACCTGTTTCCGTTGTCTTGTGGACGTTAAAAAATGCGCTTCTGCGGGGAAATGCAGTGACACGATCAAGCCGGTGTCTGCTTTATCTATTCGGTATTTTGACTAATACAACTGATTAAAATTATATAAATAAAATGTCAAAGGAATCAACATCTGGAGTGAGTGAGTATGGCTTTGCGCCCTTTTTAGCGGCGGGGGACACAAGAAATGGGCTAACAAATTGTACCCATGTAGGGAATCGAACCCGGGCCTTCGGCGTGACGAGCGGACGCTTTAACCATTAGGCTACCCCACCGCCCAGTAACATCCAGGATAACAAAACCAAGGAAAACAATGATAGAAGAAGTGAAGAAGGCGATCCCTTGAAGATTAATATCATTTAGGGTGTAGACATTATATTTATATACAGGATTGACGAAGATGATATCATCTAGAACGTAGACATAATATACTGGGTTATCGAGGATGATATAATCTTGAATGAGGATATAACATACTGGGTTGTCGAGGATATCATCTAGAATGCGGACATAATATGCAGGATTGTCGAGGATGATATCATCTAGAATGTGGACATAATATACAGGATTGTCGAGGATGATATCTAGAATGTAGACAATATACAGGATTGTCGAGGATGATATCCTCTTGAATGAGGATATAATATTCAGGGTTGTCGAGGATATCATCTCGAATGCGGACATAATATACAGGATTGTCGAGGATGATATCTAGAATGTAGACAATATACAGGATTGACGAGGATGATATCATCTAGAATGTGGACATAATATACAGGATTGACGAGGATGATATCTAGAATGTAGACAATATACAGGATTGTCGAGGATGATATCCTCTTGAATGAGGATATAATAATCAGGGTTGTCAAGGATATCTTCTAGAATGCGGATATAATATACAGGATTGTCGAGGATGATATCATCTAGAATGTAGACAATATACAGGATTTCGAGGATGATATCATCTAGAATGTGGACATAATATACAGGATTGTCGAGGATGATATCATCTAGAATGTAGACAATATACAGGATTGTGAAGGGTGATATCGTTTAGGATGTAGACATAACATACTGGATCGTCGAAGTGATATCATAAAGGATGAAGACATAATATACTGGATTGTCGAGGATGATATCATTTAGAATGTAGACATAATATACTGTGTTATAGAGGATGATATCATCTGGAATGCGGACATAATATACAGTGTGGTCGAGGATATCATCTAGAATGCGGACAATATACAGTATTGTCGAGGTTGTTATCATCTAGAATGCGGACATAATATACAGGATTGTTGAGGATGATATCATCTAGAACATAGGCAATATACAGGATTGTCGAGGATGATATCGTTTAGGGTGTAGACATAATATACTGGATAATCAAGGATATCAATTATAAAGGAGCCATATATACTGTATAATCGACAAAAATGAAAGTCTCCCTACACACACAATCATGATCTGAATCCAAACTCAAACGACAAGCATATTCTGGCTTTTCGAAACAAACGCGATTAAGTCATGATGAAAATATTCCCAGAATGTACTAATCACTGTGACAAAACATGTCTAATGTCGCCGACACAATTTGTTAACACGTTAGGTGTAACAGTTCTCCGTCTGGGAAACCTCCGTCTGCGGTGTGTGCATCGCTTTCTGACAATGCAACTATCTAGGAGCGACAGCACGGTCCATATGTATAGTTCGAGGTATGACAGAACACCCTACAATGACAGTTGTATATGTCAACAAATCATTATCGGAGTTATTTAACATCTGCTCTCATTCCTGACAAATCATTAAAGTACACCCACCATGTTGGCAGGTTGGCTATTCACTTGTGTGAGAATGGAGCCATGTGAATGTGGACAAGTGGGTCATGCTACCATGATGAAGGCGGCCTTTCACCTGTGAAAACTTACCTCGAGGAGACAGGTAGTCAAGCAGAAAGTTCACCTCACAAAGTATCACGACATTCTGACGTTGTGTAAAACACCGTGTATATCTTTTCCAAGATGTAAGTCCAAGTCTGGATAACCGCTATCGCTTAAAAAAGTTGTTTCGGTTTGAAACTTATCTTGACATTTTGCCACTTTCGACTGTGTGATTGTCCCCTCGCGTTGGTGTACCTGACCCCTGACCTCTGAACTCTTGTGACCACCGAAGAATGCGAGAACACGATTCTGATTGGCTGGGTAAGCTATTTGTGTTGGAAGGGTGTATCTAAATACGAACGGGCCGGTTGAGTCAATACATAATAAACGTCAAACTTATTATATATTTTCTTGGGCCAGGCTTACAAAATTTGTTAATATTTGAATTTTAATGCCCAAACTGTAATGTGTATATTTATAAACTTGTCAACATTCGGTTGTTGTGCAGGTATGTCACTATGTAGGTGTATGCATCGGCTTCGCTGATCACGATGACGTGGGCGGGAGGGAGTGTGACAGAACAACAGAATTTCAGTCTCGCGACAGCCAAAACCCCATACCGTTATCTGACAACAGTACACGGAGTTCAAAGTTTAATAATTACATGTTTATAGGAAGGGTTGGATTGTGATATAAAATATCCGTAGATGCAGGGGGAATATATGGAGGATATTATATGAGTGCCCTTGTCATACTATGTTTACGACACGAGTGCCTAAATGTTTGCATTTCCAGAGCGAGAGCGAGGGATATACCGATATTTAGGCACGAGTGTAGTAAACATAGTATGATATGGGCACGAATATAATATTCTATTTATTACCGAAGTCGTTAAATTGAGGAAAATAAACCCAAATCTACTTTCAAACATAGGCTGGCTGCCCGCCGTCGCCGCATATATGACGCAACGTCATAGAAGAAACGTGACGTCATAGCATCGTTCATGACGTCACATCACCATGGCAAAGTGATATTTTGCCCTAGGGCATCATATGAAACTATGAAAACTATGATATTTTCGCCCTCGTAGGTAATAAATAAGCATATACACTACCAGGTTGAGACTAAAAGGAGGTCCACTGGCATACATGCAGCGGTTAAAAGATGTCCCATACACGTCTCACGTGTTTTGAAATATTTCAATCTGATTATGACACAAAAATATCATTAATATCGCTGTCATCAAATGTACGTTGAACTGCACCCACGGGCACCCACAGATAGGTGGATAGATAGATAGATGTCGAGAAACACTTCGGAAACATTTCTAAAGCTAGGTACATCTTACGCCCGTGATTCAACATGTTGCATGTTAATGTATGGTATATTACGTCCGCTTCACTGAGTATGAAAACTGTTCCACAATGAGTGAGTTTAGTTTTGTGCCGCACTCAACAATATTCCAGCTACATGGTGGCAGTCGGTAAATAATCGAGCCTGGACCAGACAGACCAGTGATCAACAGCATGAGCATCGATCTACTGGGATATGATGTCTTGTCTACCAAGTCAGCGAGCCTGACCACCCGATCCCGTTAGTCGTCTCTTACGACAAGCATGAGTTACTGAAGATCAATTCTAACCCGGATCGTCACGGGTTCAACAATGACACTTCCACATTTCAGTATACTTTCAGACAAGCAGTCCTTCTTAGCATTGCTAGTGCCACCGACCACTGATTTATCTGGTATGGACTCAATTATATCCTGCCATGGCGGGGTGGTGGGGGTAGCCTCGTGGTTAAAGCGTTTGTTCGTCACGCCGAAGACCCGAGTTTGATTCCCAACATGGGTACAATATGCCAGTCCCCACCGTGATATTTACTGAAATATTGCTAAAAACTAAACTAAACTAAACTAAACTCCCTCAGACATCCCTGCCATGATATAATTAGAATATTTCTGTCTGCGGTAAGATAACATTTTAAACTTCTCCATATTCCTGAGTTTCCAACAGAAATTCATCATGATTAAACATGGGATTAAACCAGATTGACAAGTTTTTCGGTTAATTATTTTTCCTTATGATAATAAACAATTTTGAATTGTTATGTTTCACTATTCTTCACTTCCATTTTTGGTGATAAATTAATGCTCACGAAACAGGCATCATGTCTTTGATTTCTCCCACATTGAAATGTTTTTATTGTTTCATTCAGAGTTCTTTGTTAACAAAACTCCTTCATTTTAACATGTACACATGTTTGCAGTTTAAATTGCACAATTGTATTATATTGATTATATATGTGATTCCAAATTTTAACTGGTAATATGTATTTGGCATAGACTGGTTCCAGCAAGTTGAAACGCATATAATTAAGTCTAGCGAGACCTTGTTATTTATATACATGATTTATGTGTGCTATCAAACTTGTGCCCAAAAGATTTTGTACTAAATATATGTATTTACGTTTGTGATATAAGTCAGTGTGAAAGTAAATACTTTTCAAGATCAAAGAACTACCGTCTCTTTCTTTATTCTAATATCCTTGTATGTGAGACTTCAGTCCATGTATTCATTTATATATGGCCACATCATGTGAGGCGCGTCGATGGGGTAGCCTAATGGGTAAAGCGTCCGCTCGTCACGCCGAAGACCCGGGTTCGATTCCCCACATGGGCACAATGTGTTAAGCCCATTTCTGGTGTCCCCCGCCGTGATATTGCTGGAATATTGCTAAAAGCGGCGTAAAACTAAACTCAGTCAGTCAGTCAGCTGTTGTGACCACCTGATTACAGGTGTCAAGCTTGAGTTACTGGGGACCCATTCTGCCCAAGAAATAACTCTCTCAATACATTTCTATTGTAATTTCTACTAAAATTACATTGCCACAAATGCCTGCCATTTTTAGTTACCATTAGACTGCATTTTGATATTACAAGTAAGTGAGTGAGTTTAGATTAACACCGCACTCAGCAATATTCCAGCTATAATCGAGTCTGGACAGAAAATCCAGTGATCAATTGCATGAACATCTATCTACGCAATTGGGATACGATGACATGTGTCAACCATGTCAGCGAGCATGACCACCACGCTGCTGAAGATCAATTCTAACCAGGATCTTCACGGGTCTGATATTTACAATTTTACTTAGCGTTATTGTGGCAGTGTTGTATATATGTCTGTATTTTTATATTTGTATACATATAATGTTGTAATAAAACAATGTATTACTTTTACTGTGATTTACAGAATATAATAAACTTGTTTTCTACTTAGCTCCTGGTTGACTTTTCATTAATTCAACTTTGTTATTATTTAACTGTCTTAAGGTAGCTGTGGGTTAAGGCCTCCATATAGCTGGAATATCCCTAAGTGCCAGGTAAAACTAAACTCATTCACTCCAGTGGGTTAAGATTGTATAACTTGGGTCACTCCTTTGTTTAAGACAGCTTACGCCTGATTGGCCTTGTGTGAAATACTTATGCTCAGCTGGTCACCAGCACAGCACACAAGCCACGGTAGACTGAACAAACCTGATGTTCTTACAGGTAGGTTATGTATTTTGCATGTTTTTACAATTATGTACATTTATCATCCAAAACTGTGTTCCACAGGAGATATCGCTTGTGTGAGATATCGTTTTGGAGATATCGTTTTGACAGTAGATTTTGTACAATGCCCTGACAATGCTATGACGTCATGTACTTGATGACGTCACAATGCTATGACATCGCTGCACTGCAAGTCTAATGGCAGTACCGTGTTCAGAGATGTACATTTTTCATTGAAAATTAATGAAGAGTGATTTTTGATGATAAATAGAATCTCACCCTTGTGTCTTCTGATATCAAATATATCAACACCCGTTGATAAAGTAAAAATATCCTCGGCAAGCCTCGGATATTTGTTACTTTATCAACTCGTGTTGATATAATTGATATCAGAAGACACGAGGGTGAAATTCTCTATGTATATAGTCCTTAACCAATTATAGTGAAATAATGTTTTAATATTATCTATATAATAAATACAGATATAACCAAATGTGATTTAACTAGAGCAGTAAGTCTAAATACCATTAATTCACAAATGTCAGCTGGTCATCTTTTCACTTGCCTATTTTTGTCTTTGAGAATGTGAGGGAAAGACTTCCGCCAGTATCCCCCCTTAAATTTCATTTTGCAAGTGTGTGTGTGTGTGTGTGTGTGTGTGTGTGTGTGTGTGTGTGTGTGTGTGTGTGTGTGTGTGTGTGTGTGTGTGTGTGTGTGTGTGTGTGTGTGTGAAGCATTTATATAATAGTACATGAATATATATCCTTTTCCCTGAATGTATACAGGGTATATAATTTTTTCCTCATTTTTCATCATTTAGGAGATATGGGCAGAAGTCTTACCCTCTTTGTGTGTTTATTACACTAGTCTTGATGCATATCACATGTATACATAGTCAGTGTAGTTTATAACACAATCCTTGAATGTATTTGATAATCATACCATGGATATCAATATATACTCATGGAAACAAATAAGGGAACACATGAAAGTACAAGTGTTACTTTGTTATTATGATTACACAATGCCATTTAGAAAGTGGTCAAATGTAACATGTTATATTAGGGATTACACTTTCTTAGTAAAGTAAAAATTCTAGTACATTTTATAGTTGAGCCCCCATCCGGGATTCAAACCCACACCATCAGAGTCAGGCACCTAGTCGCCAGCACACAAAGTCAGCCGCCTAACCCACTCAGCCACTGCGACCTCCACCAAAATGGAAGTCGGACAACTGGTAGTCTAGACTGTGGACTTTGTGTACCCCTCTGATAAGTGTTAATTGGCACAGCTCCTATGGCCGAAAGCTATGATTACACAATGCCATTTAGAAAGTGGTCAAATGTAACATGTTATATTTGGGATTACACTTTCTTAGTAAAGTACAAATTCTAGTACTATTTTGAGTTGAGCCCCATCAGGGACTCGAACCCACACCCTCAGAGTCAGGCACCTAATCGCCAGCACACCGCGACCTCCACAAAAAAGGAAGTCAGACAACCGGTAGTCTAGATTGCGGACTTTGTGTACCTTTATTCTTTTCCAGGTTTCTTCACATGGTGTGTATTGCACTGTGGGTGAAATTCTGGAAATATATAAAGGAACACTTGTACTTTCATGTGTTCCCTTATTTGTTTCCATGAGTATATATGTATATGTATATATTGTTATGTATATGTTTCAGGGTATTTGTTCTGACTCTGACTCCCAAATAAATCATTAAAAACTCAAACATAACTTGTGTTATTCCTGAACACCACTGGTTACATTGTTTCCAATGCTTACTGACAATTGTGAGAGAAAGAAGAACTTTCTATAAATATTAACTTCAACAATTATGTGACTGTCAGATCAAGTGTCTGATGTGGAAACTGATTTGAAACCTCTCATTAACCAATCCGAATCATGTATTTACAAGACATGAATAACATGTCATATATGATGGAATGAAAAACAGATATCGGCAGACATGATACACATTTATTATGAAATCACAGTAGTGCTTGAGTACACAAGACACAGACATGAAGTGTACAATAAATATCATGGTAGTGTCTGAATACACCGGGCACACATGATGGTTCAGACATCTGTAAAGACAGTCATACGTAATACTGGGTAGGGAAAGCTGACGTCAAAATGTTGTAATAAACTTAGCCCACATACACAAGCAACCATAATGTCCATTGAGGGCCACACCATTCTGATACACCCTGCCAATCCTCCACTCTTTATCTAGTACCAACAATATTAATACAATCTTGATTGTATTTAATTCAACGCAGGGTGCCTTTGTACAAAACAACCTTAGTGCTAAGACTACCTTAAGTCTATGTTAAGTATGGGAGTTAGCACTAAAGATCACTTTGTACAATGGCACCCTTGTTCTTTAAATCGAAGACCCATCCTAGTGCCGAGACTGCATTCGGAAGGACAGCATTGATGTTTAAGACTTCCTCAGTTCATACAGCAACATCCATGCTGGGATTTAACAAAAACATTCTTCTGACCCAATATATTCTTTGTTCACCTGTTCAAAACAGTGGAATATTTTTTCATTGTTAATATTCAAAACATTTTCCTTTAGAAATAGAAAAATATATTAAAAACAAAAGAATAACAACGTCTATCACAACTGCTCTTATGACATAACAAGACCTTAAAGCAAAATCTTGGGACGGAATACTGACAATCATAAATTCTACATAAAGCCCATAACACAAGAAGAATTAGTTTCAATCCAATATTTCAAATGGAGCACATCTATCATCTATCAAAATCACAGTTTAGCTGAAATAATTTCAGTTGGTCCAGTTGTCATATTTGTTTGAATATTCATGTTCACTTTCATGAAATGGTTTTAAGAGGTGATATTCAAATAGATGTCCCTTCAAACAATCATGTACATATTCACATAAACTAAATCCTTTTTAAAAAATCTCAGAAAATCATTAAGTACTCTGTTTCAGTTTCTATCCTGAGATTCCACAGATATATAAACAGTTTGTCCCAAAATCCTGAGATCAAAGGCATCATACTTCAATGGACTTATGAGTGCATGATTGTTTTAAATGGAGAACTAATTCTGACAATATCCTATTTTTAATCAAATCGTTGAAACAAGGTCATGTACAGATACACATGATATTAAAAATATTAAACTTCTGTTGTTGCTGATAAAATGAACAGAAAACTTGTGAGAACTAGATTCAAAATTGTACTGCCCTAAAAATAAATGATCAAGTATGACATAAGCATTATTAGCAAATATATTTACAAATTTTGCATTCATACCAACACAGAGAAAATATATCTCAAAATATTCTGCAAAGCAATAATAAGTCATATCAACTGTACATATTAATGAGTGTTTTTCTATCAGCTGACTGCTGCATGGCCTGATAGTTAGTATTGAACCTGTAGCATAGTGGGGGGCTTGTTCCGAACCATCATGGTGGGCGTGCCTGGCTTCCTGTATGCCGGTTGGGGCTGGTTCATGGCAGACTCGTATGTTTTCTACAACACAACACATAGAGCATAAGTGTAGGCCTTTCTTCTAATATTTAACCATTTCAGTTGTTTAACAACTAATCCGATATTTTAGACACTGCACTGCCTGATCTTAAAATGTACATAATTGAATATGATGCATGTTTGACATTTGATAGTTTTTATAGATGCCAACAAAATATCATTAGACATTGAGTATATATTTACTACGGCTGGGACGGATCCAAATGTTCTACCCAGGTACCCCATCCCCTATTACCCTACCCTGCCCTACCCTGATACCCGTTATGTTAATTCCTGACATCAAATTTGAAAGAAATGGCAATATTCTTCAGCTCAGAGGCTAAAATTTCGAGTTTTTTTCAATATCTTAACAGTTTATTATATTCAAAAGGAGTGACTATAATAATGTCTAAATCTTCTAAGACAATACAACCTTTTAATCATGGAAGAAAAACATATTACATTGTTTAACCTATTAGTCACATGATCACGGGTGCCCGGGTCCAACTCATTACCCACCCGTCCTGGGTATCCGGGTTACTCGTCCCAGCCCTACTATTTACAGCTCTTCATAAAGGTTATAATAAGGGCTTCTTCCCTATACTCCCAAACAGGTCCCAATCAACCTACTGAACAGTGGGAATGGAGGATGTTACACTTTTTGATGGAAGACTTGATGGAATCTTGGTACATATCACAGGGGCATAGAGTTATTTCCCTTGTACCAAGAGAGAGAGTAACTATTGTCTTATGGATTTTAACTTTTATTTCTTTCTATATGATTTTTTGTACTGGGAGTTGTTTCCTAGTCAAGCAAGTACAAATGCTTGATAAAGGTACTAGCACCTGTACTGAAGACTGAGGAAGTATGGTGATGTAAGTACTGATTTACCCTTCTGTGTGTTCTCATCTGGGCATTGTAGAAGGCAGCAGATTCTGGGTTGTTCATCAGCAGCTCCATCTGGAGGCGGTCAAACTTCTCCTGCTCATCTTCCGGCTGCCAACATCAGCAACAAGGGTGTGAGAGGTGCCATGAGGAACAGAGGTGTGAGAGGTGCCATGAGGAACAGAGGTGTGAGAGGTGCCATGAGGAACAGAGGTGTGAGAGGTGCCATGAGGAACAGAGGTGTGAGAGGTGCCATGAGGAACAGAGGTGTGAGAACCAGCAAAAGAAACAGAAAGTGTTGTTACGGTCAACATGAGAAACAGAAAGGTGTGTGGGTCAAATTAACAGACAGACACATGTGGGAGAGTCAAGATGGGAAACAGAGGTGTAAGAGTCAAGATGGGAAACAGAGGTGTAAGAGTCAAGATGGGAAACAGAAAGGTGAAACAGAATGAGGGTGAACATGAGAAACAGAAAGAGGTGTGAGGGTCTACATGAGAAACAGAAAGAGGTGTGAGGGTCTACATGAGAAACAGAAAGATGTGTGAGGGTGAACATGAGAAACAGAAAGAGGTGTGAGGGTCTACATGAGAAACAGAAAGAGGTGTGAGGGTCCACATGAGAAACAGAGAGATGTGAGGGTCCACATGAGAAACAAGCATGAGAATCTATACTAACAGTGAGCTAGGTTGAATAGTAATATACAACAGTGAAATCACAGCTTGTACGTACCATGGCGTTAGGGTTGAAAGGAATGATGCTGCCTGGGCGGACTCCGTGGCCGGCTTGCATACTGGTGTGCTGCTCATCTCCCTGGCTCACAAAACTCTCATTGTACCAAGTGTCAAACTCTGAAAGGTGTCAAGAAGGGTTCCATGTGTCATCATAGGAAAAGAATAAAGGACATTTGTGATGCCAAAAGACAACATATGCACTTGTGGCACTTGTGACAGGGAGCTCAACGTGGCAACATTATACTGATGTCTTGCATATCTTTCATATCCCCTGTCTGTTGTCAAGAGGGGAGATAAATATTTCAGGATATTGATGAAAAATAGTTTCCTTCTTCACATTTTCAACAACCATGTTTCATTCATTAACAGGTTAATCCTTGGCATTAGTCTGCATAGTGGTAGAATGGTAAAAATATTTAGAGCAACAAATGGTTCTCAAGCAATGATGTTACAGAAATGGAAGAAGCTGGATGACTACTCATGGGTCAAAAATGCTCCAACTCTGGCTTAGGAACTGGAACATTTAGAGGAAAGTCTTTTCATGTAAAGTTGATACAGCAGTGAGGAGCACCAGGCATCCTGACCAGTCCACATCCTACCCCTGACTTGTGTCTGGGACAGTTACCTTGTATGAGACGTTGCCGACACTGGTCCACCAGCTTCTGACAGTACTGCACTTCAGCCTTCAGCCGCTTCAGCTCTTCGTAGTCGGTCTTGTATTTCTGTTTCAGCTCTTTCAGGGCCTGGATCTCCCTGAACTCAGCTTCACTGATGATGATGTCGCCATCCTCATTAAAAGTGGGCCCTGTCAACATACAGACACATTCAAACACGCTCTGTTGGAGGAAATAACCAAAGGTTTACAACAGTATATGTACAGAACCTTGTCCACAAAAGCCCAATATGGTCTTAAGACATAATCTCAACACTACTTTACTGCCAAACTGTGTGTATATGTTTTCCTACAATGAGAAAGTTAATGGTATGTAGCAGTAGACATTTTGGTATCTTTAACCATTCCTATCTGCAGACAAAAGAAAATATGTAGTAATCAATGGTCATGCCATGCTTTTAGATGTGAAAGTCCCTGCACTGATGTTGAAAGCATTAGAAAAGGTTAATCCCTTCTTCCACCATCCTTGCAATACAGCGCTGATAATGTGTGACACAAGAAATGTGTTTACTTTGTTTTCAGAACAGTTAAGTCAAGCAGGTAAATGAGTGACATTTTTCTGACTTTCAAGCAGAATGGAAAGAAAGTGACAAGAAGATAATACACATGGCCTGTTGGACAATCTACAGCCATTTAACGTACCATTCATCTCCCTTTCTTCCTTCAGACGATCAAGCTGGGACCTGCTCTTGTCTATGTCAGTCTTGACGGCATTGATCTGCCGGGCCATGTCACTGTACGCCTTTGTCTTGCTGCCCAGCAGTTCTGTATCACAAACACGAGATGATTCGACATACTGTGTCAATACATAAATGATTTAGGTATCTAATATAGCTCAATGGTATTATTTATCAAGTCTATACAAAGCATATGCATATGTTACAACCAGAACCATTTGATGGAGCTTATTAAGCCACGTCAACTTTTAGCATGACAAGATGCCTCGTAACTTGGCATTGCTAATCAAAAGGTTCCAATGAACTTTACCAACATTCTCTCCGCCATCCCACTCTCTCACCTTTGTTTTCCACCAGGATTCTGTTGATCTCACTGCCTCTTTCCTGTTTAAATTCTTCAAATGCCACAGTCCTGCCTGGGGGTGTACTGTAGACAACACAATAAAGACTATATGAGACTGAAGCAGATTTACATTCTTTCTTTTTGTCAGATAATCATTAGTTGTTATAAGATAGTAATGTGTTTGCAGGTCATGAATGGGACAAGGAGACCTGAAAGATTCATTTTTGTTAGTCCATCTAAATAATCCTTCAAAACAATTGTGCATCCAATGCATTAATATTCAGACCAAACTTGAAGCCTTCTTTGTTACCAGTATGTCAGTTGTCACCATGGGGACAGATGGGATGTATTCAAGTGAGGTTTTTTTAGAAGCTCATAACAAGTCAAGATTGAAAGAAGAAGGAAAAATAAACAGTGTAAGATAGGGCAAGTTTTTCAAAATTATATCTGAAAGGACTGTTCTTTTTTTTTATCACCTGCTGACCAACATTTTTCACAACAGGATTTGCCCAATTATCTCTCAAACTATTTAGCAGCCACCTGGCAGTCCTTCAGTATGCTACAAGAAACAAATGATGCTAATCTACCTTGGGCGTGCTTGTTTCTCAGCTCGAGTGGGAGGTCCAGCTGAGCTGACCGGTGAGGCCGATCCTTCCACTACCTCCTTGTCATCCTTGCGGGTGTTCTCGACCGGTGTGTGTGGGGACTTGGTGTCCCGATCCCCCTTGGCACTCTGGGACGGGGAGGACCCACTCTTCCCACCCACAGGGCTGCAAGCAACAGAGTAATAGTGGAGGCCACACAATACATCACAAGACATCAACATACAGATATCTGTCAATGACTGCTCTGTGTTTCAATATACAACTGTGTAATAATATATTATGACAAATAAATAAGCACAGAACATATGGAAAACATACAACAATTACAGTCTGTGGTTTCATTAAACAGTTCCAAAGATTCAAGTCTAAATTATCTATTGTAAGCTCTCAGAACAAGTTTACTTCATATAAATACACTGTAAATATATTTAAACTGGTGCAAAAAGTATCATTCGGACAAATAGAGGGAATTTGTTACAACTGATTAACTACCTTATATACAGTAAAGACTAAATCTATGTTTTACATCCATCAACAAATGTTAGCATTTCAAACCCCATGCCCAAAACACAAAACAGTATGACATCACAGACAGCATACATAACCCTGTACCAGTATTAAGCAAATAGCAGTTGTCAACAAATGTTACATAATGGAGTTAAGACAGCAGCAAAGACAGTACCACAGCACACATGGAATCACTTAGTTCTGTACAGATAATACCACCTTGGCGATATTCTAACATTAGTCTTAGTCATCATCACATTCAGAGAAAATAGAAATGTAGCATGTCCCAAGTTTCAAATGATATATAACTTACAGCTGTAGCTGTTAATTATAAAATAAACATAATTACACATGGTGCCTGGTCAGAAGAAAGAGGAACACACATGCAGATCATGTTAGTATTGTGATAATGGTGAGATGGTTAATGGAGGTGGGTGCTAATTATTCTAATCATGATATGCATGGAAGGTAGGTTTGACATGTCTAAGTCATGGTACATAACCATGCTATTTTAATTTGTCATCTACATTTCGAAGGTGAACAAAGTTTACTTATTGCATTTGTAAAACTTAAATTTTAAACCACACAAAATACTGATTCCAGTTACTGGGTAGTATAGTTGTTACACATTGGGGAAAATAGGTAACAGAGGAGAGGTGAGTATATGTTTCTTCTTTTGAGACAACTATTCATCCCATGTATTTTAGCTGTTCAGTTAGGTGATGTCAAGTTAAGGTCGGCATGCTTGCACATCACTCATGTCAAGGGCACCCTATACCTGCCCACGGACATCAGCCGAGTCACTAATCTGGCTGCAGATGCTAGACTGGGGAAAAGTCAATACACCAACAATGTCATGTTTATCTACCAAATATACACATGCAAATGAAATGCTTGCTTGTTTGGGGTTTTCAATGCCACACTCAGCAATATTCCAGCTATATAGTAGTGGTCTATAAATAATCAAGTCTGGACCAGACAATCAAGTGATCAACAGCATGAGCATCAATATATGCAATTGGGATACGATGATGTGTCAACTAATTCAGCGAGCCTGACCACCCAATCCCGTTAGTCGTCTCTTAGGACAAGCATGGGTTACTGAAGATCAATTCTAACCCGGATCTTCATGGGTTGCAAATGAAATGGAAATAAACGATGATATATTGGCTGAATGTTGTCAGTGATGAATTCTAATATGTAATCTTTAAATTTGTGAGTCAGTAATGAATACATGAATGTAGTTGAATCATTGATGAAATACCCCTGTATATGGTAATACTGTTGATTCAGTGACAGCTCAATCACAGATGTGTTATATGTAAATTATGTTGCTTTGCAGGAAAATTATCATCATAATTATAATTTGTCACTGTTGCGTTGTTAATATAAAAAAAGTGTTCACTCACTAATAAAATATTCTGTTTAAGCGTTTTCTTGTTTCACTGATAAATAATAAGGGAATATTGTGGATTCAAAGATGCATTATTTTCTATCATTTTTGTGATATATATATAACATAAATATTATCCCATGGCTGTTGTTTTGTCAGTAATATGATGATTGAGTTTGAACAGGCAATAAATGAACAATTAAGTGCACACTGTTTTGTTGACCCTATGTCCTAAAATTGTGCAGAGACAACACAAGAAAGACTTCACGTCTTGAATGCAAACAAATGAATGAACAATGTGCATGCATGTGCTGTGTAAGATGAACATCGAGATGCAGGATGCAATACACGAAAATTTCAACAAAAACAAACATGATAAACAAAGACAAGTTGCAAAAGGATTTGAAAAGTTAAAGTCAGTGATCCAGAAGGTATCTGGTAAAGGGTGTACCTCTGCTTCCCTCCTCTGGTACCACTTCTCCGGTCCTTCTCTTTCTCCTTCTTCCTCAGCTGTACAACAGCTGATGGCTCTGCTTTGGCCGACCTTGGTGCTGTTCCAACACCAAACCCGGAACCATCAGACTCCCCAACTAGAGATCCATCATCAGCAATGCTTATTCCAGCCTGAAATTTGGTTGGGGAAATCCTTTATCTCAAGCTCCAAGATGGCTGGCTGATCCTTGCCTCTTTCTTAACTTTTGTATTGTAGTAAGCAAGGAGACATCACATACCAATTTGATTTTACTGAATTCAAGAATGCATTATTTCCTTGCAACTTGACAAGAGACTTTTCGTGTCCAAGAGTGTTTCAACAGTCTTTTCCAGTTATATCATGACATGTCAACTTGGTGCTGGAGAAAGCCTGTAATGTTACTAAACCAAAATTAAAGTGATGTCCTTAAATAATAATTGGATTGTTCGTCTCTATGTTTGTATATGTGAACAAATTTGTTTTTCAAATTCTTAAACCTAACCAAAGAATCTGTCCCTCAAAAAGCAATGCCGTAAAGGCCTTTCCTAGAATCTAGGCTTTCACAATAAAACCTCTCAGTTAGTCCATTAATCCTTGTTATCTAAGGCCAGTACATGTTGCTACTATGCTCCTCGGTTCTCGTACCTGCTGGGCAGCTGCTATGGCGGCTGGGTCAGTTCGGTCAATCAGCGTAAACTTCTGACGAAGCTTGTCCTCAATTGTTTGTGCCATTTGGCTGGAAGACACACACAAGAAAACCATGCTTATATATCAAGAATGTATGTCCACTGTCATGTTGTAGGTGGGGAGACAGATGACACAACTTCTTCTCTAGACGGTATAGCTTTACTGCCGAGACATGTGGTTTTCAGGCGACACCAGCATGGTGTCAGGGGAGGCAACTCTAGGCCGCTTACCTTAAGGTTGTAATATGGCATCCACTAGTGTTGGAATCAGTAGTAACTTGTTGACTCCAACAATCAGTCATTGATTATGTTCTCCATTTCCTTGCTTTGTTTTGATAAATCATGATTCAAAGTGTTTTACTTTAAATATTGAGAACCAATGGAGGTGCTTGATGAAGGTGCAGCCTGTACTGGTGACATAGCATGTAAAATGAGGGTCTCCAATAAAAAGGTCAGGGCCCCGTTTCACAAAGCTCTCGTAGCACTACGACTATCGTAATTTATTGTTACAGTATAGGAAGTAGGATGCTACGAGGAAAGTTACAAGATCTCAGGCTTACGAGAGCTTTGTGAAACGGGGCCCAGTTCTGGAGTCAGGAGTTCCAAGTTACTGACTGGCCGTGCTTCATTTAAGGTTCCTTCTAAAGCCAGTCCTCCCTCCCCACATGTCCTTACCTCTACTAGCGCCAAACCAAAAGGACTTACCTTCAGGCAATATTTCGATTTGTTCAAGGGAGATTTGCTCTCCCTTGGAAAGAGATCTCTGCTGGGATTATGTTTCAACAGCAAGAGACTGCATTATGTACTATGCAGGATAGGTTAAGCCTTAGCAAATATAATTATTGTAGGCATTCAATTAAAATATTTTTATGTTTATTTTCCTACTATAGACTTACTGATATATATCCTTGAAGGATTCGTATGCGCCTTGTATTTGACGTATATTCACAATCTGAAAAGCAAAAGTCAAAATAAACATAAACCATTTTCCATATTGTGTGTGTGTGTATTCACTTTATATCCTTGTAAATCTTACAACCTGATTGGCTGAAAGGGCTAATTTTGTTTGTATTCCTTCCCAATGAGCCCATAGAGGACTATTTCACCCCAGAGTTACAGAGACAAAAGTTCTGTGTATAGCTTCAGTCATCATACAACTTTGCAGAAACACAGAATCGGCAAGATGTGATTGGTCATTGCCTCTATACAAAGCAGACTGTGGATACACAAGCACTGGTTAACTGTAAATGTACTTTTTTTCGCTTGGTGCAAATTTCGCGGAATTGACAGTTTAGACTACATCGTGCGGTCAATTATTCGCGCAATTAGTAATTGCTGGAACTGCCAGCTGTCTCTTAGGCCGCCACTAATAGCAATGAAAACAATCAGAGTGGCTTAACCTGTCAGGCGGCGTGTATTGCTTATTCACAGGAAATCCCTACCTGCGCGATATATACAGTAATACGTTTACTCACGGAAGTATTACGTACTTTGGAAGTGAGATATTGTGATGGTACTAGTATACTATATAAAGAGATGAAAAACACATCAGTCTTATGTTCCGAATTCTGACGATCTGATGTTGGCATTGCGAATGTGGTTAAAGAAACTTTGTGATTTCATTTCGTGATATGCAGGAATAAATATAAATAAAATCTTAATGAATAAATAAAATACTGCTGTATTATTTCTTTCCGAGTCGTTTCATGGTAATCCATTTTGTATCAAACTATCTGTCACTACGATTGGTCAAAATAGAACACGTCGGGACATGAAATCCATTACAGCGACAGTTTTTGCTACTATCAGTCATCATTTTAAGATTCCCGTAGATTTCTGTCTTCAAACTTGATGTATTATGGTAACAACTCAGGCGAGCGTGGGTAGAGTGAATGAATGAAAGGTTTATTCGCTGTGTATAAATTTTCGCGGTAACATATTTTGCGTGAAAACCTGCGCGATATATAATATGATTACAGTAAATGTATACAGTCACTGCTCCCATTCTGATATCAATACACCTGTCCTCGACACTTACTATATCTGCACATTTCTGCAACATACAACTTCAGCCAAGCAAAAAAGAATACACCAAATTCATAAGTAAATATATACATCATTGAGTAACATAGCCACTTTACTCAACATGGAAGGAGAGTAATAACAGCATTGTGTGTCCTGCTAGTTCCAGTGCAGATACTTCAATAAACACTTCCTCCAAATGTCCTGTCAACTTACATCTACTTCATCCATCTCTCCTTGTAAGTAGCTCTGGACTTGCTGCCGGATGTCATACTTCTGTTGTTCTGACAGTTGCTCATATGATATCTGACTTCTGTTGGTCTGTAAGGAAACAATTTTATTGAAAAACTTACAAAGTGCAAGTAAAACCTTACCTCAGCTTAAAACACATAGAAATATTTATTCACCTAAAAACTGATTCAGATCAGATATTTTATTCTTCTGCCATAACCCTCTGCATAAAGACTGACAACCCCTCCACAGGAAATTGCATTAAGTGAACTTGGAGCAAAGCAGTCAGAACAGCATTTCTGATTTCTGTACAGTATATCGAAAAAGAACTAATCCTATAAACCATGTTTCTGACATCCATGGCATTTACACCCTGATAAAGGAACTATGAAAGGAATATTTGAGTTGAACTGTTTTTTATTGTTTTCATTATAAATATCTGAATTGTGGCGACTCAAGAACACATGCATTCTTCATTTAGATTCAGTGGTCAAGGGTTGCCAATGACCTTCTATGAGTCGTCAAACCTTATCACAGAGACCTACCCGGTACTTAGATTGTAATGAGATTGTAAGACATGTTGCCTCCTGAAAACGATTTTGAGCTGTCTTTATTTAGGCAAGTGTAAATGAGGAGCTTTACCCACAAGAAACTAACTTTCCACTACCCCTAAGTCAGAGTCACCAGTCGGTTGGGTCTGTGGGTTAACTGTAATGTACGACTACAAAAACACTCACCAGTGTATCATGCATGGCCAACTCTGATTTGAGGTGAGAGATCTCTCTCTGGAGTTTCTTCACAAGAATCTGCAAGAAGACAGCATATACATGTATACAGCATATTCCTGGATAATGGTAAAATTGTTGTTATTCTAAAGCTTCAGGATATGTCTACTTCATCAAAGGATACTTATATTATAGGATGGAAAGTTTCAGGTGAAAAGAGTACACATAATGAATTAGGAAAGCTATCTCTAATATCCCTAGACCATTTTGCAGTGTGTATGCAATTAATTCCAAACTTGACGATAAAGCATGCCAACAAATAACAGTTGATAATGTACTACAGGAAGGCACGACGAAACAACTCACAGCTGGGTCGTAGACTTCATTGACTGCTGGCTCACACATCAGGCACATCATGCGAGTTGCAAACCTTAGGGTTGACACCTGGAATATTTATACATACAGTCACAAAAATAGTTTAATCAGCATGCTTTAAGTACCACATTAAGATAACAGAATCCACAATTTTCAGTTAAAAGATTCCTGGCAATTGGTCATCCTATCCAAAAGCATTATCTAACAATGTGAAGAGAAGATATGTTATTATTCTGATAAGCGAAGCACTTGTTCATAAGGCACCATACATTCTGAATTTCTGTGTATTGTATTCTCAGGCAACTCACAGTTTCCTCAATCTGTGCTTTCTCCCCCCACATGTTGGCTATGAGCAGAGTATTACACTGCCCGCCTATGGAGTCCTTCAGGTAGTGTGTCAGCTTCGACTGACGGAATGGGATATGTTCCCGGCGTTTGTCTGCCAGCGCTACGATCACTTGCTCAAGGAAGGTCAAGGACTTGTTGATGTACATAGCCTCTGTTTGAGTTTTCCCTGCAGACTGGAAGCAAATGTTTAGAAAATGAGTGACCACCAGAACTGGAACAGAAACTTTCCCATGGAAATGTTAAAAACATGCTCAGATGTTTCTTACCTACAGTGCATAAACTTTTAAATGAAATAAAAAGACAGTTCAGAATTCTATTACTTATGAGAATGAAGTCAAAGTTCTGTGTATCTTACCTTTGTCTTGCCTAATCTCTCTGAGCCTGCAAGATCTACAAAATTTAGCTTGGAAACTGTATATCTGGCATTTGACTGAACCCGAGATCGTGACTGCAAAAGAAATGGGTTATTTTTACTGACACATGTTCACATTATTCTAAATATTAAATTAAGCTGTAATATTTCTCACAAAGGAAAAATGTCTTGACATTCTTTTTGTACTCACCTCAATATAGACAGTGAAGATACAGTGAGATCGGGATGACATTGTGTTGAGAGAGTGAGCTGCTATAGCTCTGTTAGTCTCCCCCTGAAATATACAATCAGTCGTCAATATCCAGGACTCTGTCATGTTGACATAATGTAAAGAGAGCTCTGTGTTTAATTTCCCTTCGGCAGAATTCAAACTGGGGGCTTCAGTAGAACAAGCAAACACTTTAAAATAGATCTGTCAATTAAACTAGCTGCAATCTAAACACACACTCCTAACAGTTTAATATGCAAGAAAATATTGCTTAGAACTGGTCTCCAGCAACCATGTCTATCATAAGAATAACAGTATCTGATTTGCTGACTTGATAAACATCATCGTATCCAAAATGTTTAGATTAATGCCCACTGATTTAAATCATTAGATTGTCAGTTCAGACTTGATTGATTACAGACCAGCCATCACATAGTGAATGAGTGAGTATGGATTTATGCTGCTTTTAGCAATATTCCAGCAATATCATGATGGGGGACACCAGAAATGGGCTTCAGATATTGTACCCCTGTGGGGAATCGAACCAGGGTCTTCAGCATGATGAGCGAACGCTTTAACCACTAGGCTAACCCACTGCCCTTGCCATTACATAGCATGGTATAGCTTCAATATTGCTGATTGCAGTGTTTAACAACAACAGTGTCCAACATCAACAAACAAATTGACCACCCTCATCACTGTCAGGATTTCAGCAGAACTTCAAATTACCACTACAGCCATACCTCAAATAACAGGTTAAGTGCTTCCTCTTCATTCTGTGCAAGATGACATGACAGCCCTTTAACAAACACCCCATCCTGGTTTTCCACAACGACCATTGTTTCTGCTTGACCCTGGTTCCAGGAATCAGGCAGACTCGACAGCAGGTCAAACATTGACTCATTGTAGATCTCCAGATAGGAAACTCTGTAACATGATTTCAGTGATAACAATTAATAATGGACTTGACACAACAATATACCATTTCTGGAAAAAGGGACTTTGGTCTTACACAACTGTAGCACACTTAGTTCACACATTTCGTCATGTGGGTCATCATCTTTAACACTTGCTTTTGCCATTTGTATCTATGCGTATTTCAAACAAATAGTCTTCTCGGTATAAATAATCAGTGTAGATGTTTGTAGGGGAAATGCTTATACAGAAATCCACTTACTGACATAAATGCAGGGTATAACAGATGCTGGTCCACTAGACCAGTGACAGTAAACATTAATCATTTCCTGTAATATTATAATTAGGGTGATCTGAGAAGCTTATGAATAATTTGAAATGTCAAGTCTCTTAAATTTGTTTACACCAAACAGAATGATGGGCAGGAATATTTGTGATGCAGAGGTTGAATTTTTTTTAAATTTATTTAAATGATCTTGGGTAGTTATCAAGCACATTGTCTATGACATCAGTGAATCTTGTAGCACTAGTCCTGTTTTGTCAAACCACTGAAATATCACGCTATTGACATCATCACAAATACACGCTATGGTGCAGTTGTATTCATACTTTTGAATACAAAGACCATCTTACACACAATAATTATTAGACTGTGTCACAATTCAACCATAACCATGCAGTTAAATCACCTGACAGTGATGGCCAGCTCTGGCCTCTCCTCAATCTCACGGAACAGCTGCGACAGAGATCGGGGGATGAGACCTCTGTGCTTGTAGTTCTCAGTGGCACCAGTCATTGTAAATGTTTTGCCTGCGCCAGTCTGTCCATAGCACATCACGGTACCTGCACATATACAAACAAGTTGAAATCAATTTGTCTGCATACCTAAAGTTTTAAGTGTTTAGTGTAATTCCAGTCAAAGATTTACTTAAAATTTCATTTATGTTCATATTTTTTATCAGTATATATTTTATCATTGAATGTATTCTTATTACAGTTCTGATTATGAATATTCCCTTCACAGGCAGAATAGGTATCACCCAAACATTTTCATGAAACAAACCTACAAAGCATAGTAATTCATGAATCAATCCAATAATCCAGTCTGGGGGGAACTGACTACAGTAGAACATGGTTATAGCGAACACGGATATAGCGTACAAACGGATATAGCGAACAAATTTAAAAGTCCCGTCAACAGTCCTTTATAATATCATTAAAATTATAATAACAAACTCGTGAGTAGCGAATTAACGGCTATAGCGAACTGATTTACTACCCCCAAGACCCAATTAACGACGTGATTAGCGAACTCACTCAGTGTCAGCTCAGCCACTTAGCGGTACAGTATACATCAATCTTGTTGGCGGTGAATCAACATTGTTTGATGGTCATTAGTTAATTAACAAAACAAACATATCGTATTTAACCCATTCAACACCGCATGTTATTCATACGAAGCTTCGAGAACGGAGGTATTTCCTGTTGTTGTGTCATGTTAACGAACGGAAAGCCTGATTACATAAAAATGAATCAGAGAAAGAAGAAAAAGGCACGGGCATGTTATGACATGTCACAAATGGAGAAAAAAATCGCTACAGTTTTTGCATCTTTCGTGGTTTATCTGGACATTATAAATGTAAGCTTGCATTTTCATTAAAAAATAAATTTATTTAAGTTGTAGTTGCAAGATGGCGGTCAAATGTGAATAACGAACAACGGATATAGCGAACTAAATTTCTTGGTCCCTTGGAGTTCGTTATATCCGTGTTCTACTGTACTTGAATGTTGTTCTGATAAAGTAATAATTTGGTTGCATTTGCAATGTCCATATCAGCAAAGGGGCAACATGCAAAACAACTAGACCTGATATTTGGATTAAACATATTAGAAATACTTTTAAAATATCATTTATTTTTTATTCAATTAAGACTGACATAATAAGAAACACATACCATTATAGCCATCCAAGGTAGCAGTGACAATATCAGATGCCACTGTTCCAAACACTTCCTCCTGATTAGCATTGTGGAATATTCCATCAAGTTTGAAAGACCAGTCTGAAATTTGATTGTTCACAACACCTTTTTTGGGGTCTCGTTTTTGGTGGACATTGACACTCTGAAACAATAAGATAAATAACTTTGGCATTAGCATGTTCAAATTAAGAAATTGTCAGACTGAAAGGAGCCCGACTGAATATTTTCTCATTTGAGCAAAGGAACATTTTCGTAATAAACGGTAATGACAACAATGCTGCTGTGTTTCATCTGACAGTTAAACTTAAAGTACTCGTAATAGATCCGCAGGTTCATGTGTGTTAAGCATGTATACTAAAGTTTGAGAATCATTTTCAATATTTATCGTTGATCATTCAAAAGATGTAAATCAATAAACTTAAACTTTACCTTATTATCGCCCATCAATTCAAGATTATCATGTGCAAAAGTTGCTGTTGGGCGAATCCTGCCCCATACTTTAACTTTCTTTCCTCTGTTGCTGGTTTTCGCACTCATGATTGGCGTTTACTTCTAATTCTCTCAACAAAATATACCACACACAGCTTCTCTCAGTAACAGTCCACCATATTTGTTATTGGGGTTGTTAGGATGTTTGCGCATGTGCGAGTTTTCCGGATCTCGTATTACCACACGAGATTTCAAAACGATTTGCTTCCCATACAACAAGTTATCATAAGCATGGCAGCATCGAATTACATGTACTCCAAATAAACCAGGTTGCGTTTTTTGGTTTATTCCTTACAAAATAATATTTTCCAATTTACTTTCGAGTCAGTCAAACTGATTAGAAGAATTACAGGAGAAGAGGGTAGATTCGGGAGTCTCATCTGGAGCTCGAGCTCAGAGAGTCCTGGGATGGGTGACGGTGTTTGGCAGCTTGTCTCCTGAGAGTTTCCAGGACTTCAGTCCTGCCCCACAATGAGCACATACGATACATGTGGTCTCTCCTTTGGCAAGTGAGTTCGTTCAAAATTGCCTGTACCCGGTTGGATAAAGTCTCTATAACCTGTATATAGCGCCTAGTGACTATAACCTTCTAGCGCCATACCCGTGAAGATCCGGGGTAGAATAGGTCTTCAGCAACCCATGTGCTTGCCATAAAAAGGCGACTATCTTGTCGTAAGAGGCGACTAACGGGATCGGGTGGTCAGTTTCGCTGACTTGGTTGACACATGTCATCGGTTCCCAGTTGCGCAGATCGATGCTCATGCTGTTGATCACTGGATTGTCTGGTCCAGACTCGATTATTTACAGACCGCCGCCATATAGCTGGAATATTGCTGAGTGCGGCGTAAAACTAAACTCCCTCACCCCTCACCCTTCTAGCGCCTAACAGGCAGACTGGGTTATCCGGGGTAATAATAATCAGATTCTGATTACAGCGTCCAGTGAGCAAATGAATTATTATTATTATATACAGGCTGATAAAAGAATACATGTATAACCAGGCTTCCGTTCACTGCACATACAACGTCACTGTATTTTTCGCATTTAGTAAAAAAACCGCATTTTTGTCATAGTTAGCAGCATCTAACTGCGGATCGATATGTACACAAAACAGACAAACTAAATAACTGACTACTGTGATTGCAAAATGGTCTCTGACTGTCTGACTGTGGCATATCCAGTGAATATAGAACAAAAAATGGTTCGTATTAGATTAGGAAAAAACCCACAATATTACACCATATCCCATATTTAGATCATGTTTGGCTTGGGTTTTTTTATACAATAAAATCAAATGTTATTGGAAGATGAATTTCTTGTCTCTTCGTGTATTAAACACACCAGGTCTTCGTTTTCACGAAGGATCACGCGTGGTGCTGTGTGGTTTTGTGAACAGAGCCAGGTCACAGAAATCACATTGAACCCATGTGGGGAACGGGTTTAGCAACGCCAACGCTTTAACCATTAGGCTACCCCACCGCACCGTGATTTTTTGAACAGAACCCAGGTTACAAATCAGTTGAAGAACTTTAGCCACGATGATCATGGAGAGTCCTTGCACCGTGTTTGACAGCTTGGCACTGAGAGTTTCTAGGACGTTAGTCCTGCCTCACAACGAAGCAGACGTGACACATGTGGTCTCACCCTAGGCAAATGAGTTTGTTCAAAAGTGCGTCTGTTCACCCAGCAGTGAATGGGTACCCGGTGGGCTAAGTCAAATTATTAACCTATAAGTGGCCTTGTCATTTATAAAGCAAGGACAACTGCTAAATACATGATTTTTACACAACGTTAGGTGAATCTTTCGTAACTGACTTATATCTCCACATGTAGTACTCATTCTTGGCGTCCCACTCGTTTCCTGGGAATACATACTTATCTCCTGGGCGGTGGGGTAGCCTAGTGGTTAAAACGTTCGCTCGTCACGCCGGGACCCGGGTTCGATTCCCCATATGGGTACAATGTGTGAAGCCCATTTCTGGTGTCCCCCGCCATGATGTTGCTGGAATATTGCTAAAAGCGGCGTAAAACTAAACTCAGTCACTTATACTTGTCTCCCTTTTACGTCCGTAGTCCGTGTGATTGGGTTTCGAACCCCAGGCATACTCTGGTCATGGTTCTTAGTGTGTTGGTATCTTACAAAGCGCGTGGGTTTCATCAAAGTGGTGGTGGTTAAGCCATGCCTCACATCCCAATGTTATTGATTTAGTGTTGTTCAAAGCGGCGATACTGGAATATGCACTCTTGCCATATTGTCAATCACTGGGTTGTGTGGCCCCCAGACTCGAGGGTAATTACACTCACCCGTACTCGTGATTACAACTCCCTGCTGGAATATTGCTGAGGGTGTTTTTTGTCATGAAACTGAAAAGCCACCAAACGGACACTGACCTCTGGGTGATCTTATGTTTGTTGTGGTACATTTGTTCTGGTTGCCTATTTTTAATATGTAAGGTTACTGGTTTCGAAAATTTGAATCACCCCTTGATTCGCAAATTGTGATTAGTTGTAGGGGTACAGTACACAAATGGCCGCCTCCATGAAAGTAAATATTGGAGTTTTTACGCGATGTTTGATTTTAGTTAAACGTTGTTGATATGGCTTGTATGGGCTAATTGCATAAGAAAATATTGCTGCAGTAGAGACAAGTACTGAATACAAGTCAGAATGTCGGAGTCGATTCAACGTAGAAGTGGAAAGCAAAGGTAATCAGTATTTCATATTTTTATCACTGTCACCTCACCTGTCAAACGAACTGCGTATCAGCTGAGCTTTGTATGTCACTATTGTCAGTAGGTGTTAATCATGTTAATTGAGAAGACATCGTACTGTCTTTTATCGTGATGACTGGCTGTTTATTTATATATTTGAACATATTTATCATTAAATTATTTTTCAAAACCAATTTTTAATACACTAGCCTTTACCCATATCATGCTTATGAAGTAGAGTGTTGAGTAAGCTATTTTGTAACACATGATAAACAATATTTTATGAAGGTAAACGATGGAAATAATGCTTTGACAGAAAACATGGAAGAAAAGCTGAGTCAACTCTCTGTATACTCAGTGACGCACTGTCACCCAACCTGATAACAAAGTTGTTCGGAGTGACAAGCATGCATATCATTATGTCAGTACAGTTATTTATCATGTTTATAATGTGTCAGTGTTTATGATATTTTGTACCCATGAAGGTCCGGGTAAGAATTGATCTTCAGTAACACACGCTTGTTGTAAGAGGCAACTAATGGGATCGGTTGGTCAGGCAGGCACGCTGGCTTGGTTGACACATGTCATCAGTTCCCAATTGCGCAGATCGATGCTCATGCTGTTGATCACAGGATTGTCTGGTCCAGACTCCATTATTTACAGACCGCCGCCATATAGCTGGAATGTTGCTGAGTGCCGCGTAAAAAAACTCACTCACTCATGATATTTTGAGTTGCCAGTTCAAATAGACATTTCAAATGTCATATTGATCCTCTTGATCTGGAAAAACTAGTAGAATGCAGAATATCGTGATCATGTTATACTGTGACCCGTGAAGATCCGGGTTAGATCAGTTTTCAGTAACCCATGCTTGTTGTAAGAGACAACTAACGGGATCTGGTGGTCAGGTTTGCTGAATTGGTTGACACATGTCATTGTATCCAATTGCGTAGATCGATGCTCATGCAGTTGATCACTGGGATGTCTTGTCCAGACTTGATTATTTACAGACCGCCATCATATAGCTTCCGCCAGATTTATTTTTACTATAATAGTGATGTCCCAGGTGGCAATTGTCCTAGGTGGCAATTGTCTGGGTGGCAAGTGTCCTAGACCCATCTCTTAAGACCACTACAGATCAGCTGTGTGACGTTATATCATCCATGTCACAATTTACAGTTCTGTGTGCAGAAGAATTTATTGCATGCATTACTGGCAAACAAGGATAAGTTTGAGCACCGACCTGACAATTGACCCGTATCAGCATGTATTAGTTGCGCCCACTGGCACTTGCCATTGTTAGCAAAGGGCCTCCAGGTTGTCTGCGTTCAAGTGTAGTGCGACTTGCTACACCAACGTGAGAGTCTTACGAGCAAGGCCTGTGCAGCTATGCGCGGAATCAATTTCATCGTCATGCAATGCACGTCCACTAGCCTACATCTGCTCTACCTTTCACAAACCAAATGGGTTTGCTCATTGCCGTGCACTGCCTACTTCTCGTAAACGCTTTCTCTGCGCCAGTCCAACTTATCCTTGTTTGCCAGTAGGTTATATACATTAAACATCATGAAAATACGATTTCAGCCAGAAACAAATCTGCACATGCAATCAATCTATAAACACTTCAGTCAATGACCAGTGAAGATCCAGGTTAGAATTGATCTTCAGTAACCGATGCTTGTCGTAAGAGGCGACTAACAGTATTGGGTGGTCAGGCTCGCTGACCTGGTTGACATATGTCATCGTATCCCAATTGTGTAGATTGATGCTGATGTTGTAGATCACTGGATTGTCTGGTCCAGACTCGTTGCAATATAGCTGGAATATTGCCGAGTGTGGCGTAAAACTAACCTCACTCAATCACTGCAAATGTTCTTTCAGGACTCTCTACTATGACAAACTATACATGTATGTATGGCTGATTTAATGCCTACCTAAGTTTGTTCCTTTGTTTTATTGGTGGGGTTGGGGTAGACTAGTTGTAAAAGCGTTCGCTTGTCATGCCGAGAACCAAGGCTCGATTCCCCACATAGGTACAATCTTATGAAGTAGAGTGTTGAGTTAGCTATTTTGTAACACATGATAAACAATATTTTATGAAGGTAAATGATGGAAATAATGCTTTTACAGAAAAGATGGAAGAAAAGCTGAGTATATACTCAGTGACGCACTGTCACCCAACCTGATAACAAAGTTGTTCGGAGTGACAAGCATGCATATCATTATGTCAGTACAATATTTATCATGTTTATAATGTGTCAGTGTTTATGATATTTTGTACCCATGAAGGTCCGGGTAAGAATTGATCTTCAGTAACACACGCTTGTTGTGGCGACTAATGGGATCGGTTGGTCAGGAAAATCAGCTGGCTGTTGACACATGTCATCAGTTCCCAATTCGCAGATCGATGCTCATGCTGTTGATCACAGGATTGTCTGGTCAAGACTCCATTATTTACAGACGCCGCCATATAAAGCTGGAATGTTGCTGAGTCGCGCGTAAAACTCACTCACTCATGATATTTTGAGTTGACAGTTCAAATAGACATTTCAAATGTCATATTGATCCTCTTGATCTGGAAAAACTAGTAGAATGCAGAATATCGTGATCATGTTATACTGTGACCCATGAAGATCAGTGTTAGATCAGTCTTCAGTAACCCATGCTTGTTGTAAGAGACAACTAACGGGATCTGGTGGTCAGGTTTGCTGAATTGGTTGACACATGTCATTGTATCCAATTGCGTAGATCGATGCTCATGCAGTTGATCACTGGGATGTCTTGTCCAGACTTGATCATTTACAGACCGCCATCATATAGCTTCCGCCCAGTTATTTTTACTATAATAGTGATGTCCCAGGTGGCAATTGTCTGGGTGGCAAGTGTCCTAGACCCATCTCTTAAGACCACTACAAATCAGCTGTGTGACGTTATATCATCCATGTCACAATTTACAGTTCTGTGTGCAGAAGAATTTATTACGTGCATTACTGGCAAACAAGGATAAGTTGAGCACCAACCTGACAATTACCCATATTAGCATGTATGAGAGCCACCCACTGGCACTTGCCATTGTTAGCGAAGGGCCCCCAGGCTGTCCGCGATCAAGTGTAGTGCGACTTGCTACACCGACGTGAGAGTCTTACGAGCAAGGCGTGTGCAGCTACGCGCGGAATCAATTTCATCGTCATGCAATGCACGTCCACTAGCCTACATCTGCTCTACCTTTCACAAACCAAGTGGGTTTGCTCCTTGCCGTGCACCGCCTACTTCTCGTAAACGCGTTCTCTGCGCCAGTCCAACTTATCCTTGTTTGCCAGTAGTTTATATACATTAAACATCATGAAAATACGATTTCAGCCAGAAACAAATTTGCACATGCAATCAATCTATACACACTTCAGTCAATGACCAGTGAAGATCCAGGTTAGAATTGATCTTCAGTAACCGATGCTTGTCGTAAGAGGCGACTAACAGTATTGGGTGGTCAGGCTAGCTAACTTGGTTGACATATGTCATCGTATCCCAATTGTGTAGATTGATGCTGATGTTGTAGATCACTGGATTGTCTGGTCCATACTCGTTGCGATATAGCTGGAATATTGCCGAGTGTGGCGTAAAACTAACCTCACTCAATCACTGCAAATGTTCTTTCAGCACTCTCTACTATGACAAACTATACATGTATGTATGGCTGATTTAATGCCTTCCTAAGTTTGTTCCTTTGTTTTATTGGTGGGGTCGGGGTAGACTAGTTGTTAAAGCGTTCGCTTGTCATGCCGAGAACCCAGGCTCAATTCCCCACATAGGTACAATGTGTGAAGCTCATTCCTGGTGTCCCCCGCCGTGATATTGCTTGAATATTGTTAAAAGCGGCGTAAAACCATACTCACTCACTACTTTGTTTTATTGGTGGGGTCAGGTTAGATTAGTGGTTAAAGCTTACTTGTTACTTTGGTTTGATTTTCATCTGTATTATATCATCGAAAACTGGAAACCTATAATACTGGAAAAGTAATTACAAACGTCATTGCAATTTGTCCTGGTCAAAGCGTATGAACCCTGATTCAGTATTCTGAATAAAGGATTGTCATTGAAGTCCTGGTTTGAAATACTTGTAATCAAAACCAGACACAGATATTCACTCTGCTACAATACAGTGACCAATTTCAGGAAACAAGTGCCTGTTCCTGTGTGTTACATTGAGCTATAACATGTGCAACATAACATATCTATGGAAGGCTAGAAGCACCCGTAAAATACCATAACTTCAGTGTTGCACCATGCAAACACAATCTTCCCTTGAAGGTGTCGGCAAACTATGACCCCAGTTAGATGCTCCAGATTGCTTCTATTTATCAGACTGACTAACTGAGTTTAGTTTTTCGCCACTTTTAGCAATATTCCAGCAATATCGAACGTCGCGCAGGGGGACACCAGGAATGGGCTTAACACATTGTGCCCATGTGGGGAATCGAAGCCCCATAAAATACGGTCTTCAGTGTTGCACCACAAACCAATCTTCGCTTTAACCACTATGACCCCAGTTAGACCCCAGATTGCTTCTATTTATCAGAAGGACTTTCTTCCATGTAGTGTTGATTTTGTTTCTAATATGTGTTAATAATTAATATAAACCAAATGGGAGTTTTGATCATCATAGTGCATTTTGTGCATGTGGGACCTGACTGCTATGATGTGAAACAACATTCACTATTTCCATCATCTTTAAGGTAGATAGAATCATTAAATGTGCTGAAAATTTTCCTTTAAAAGAAGCTACAGACAGTATTGAAGCCTCACATTTTCTTCACCATGCCACAGCGCAAACTGTTAAGCGCCCGCAACAGAAGCAGGACCATTGCATGGTTAAAGGATGGTGAATCCATAAGAAGTGTTGCTCTCCGTCTTCAGGTGTCTCCTTCTGTCATTCACAGACTGAGGGACAGGTTCCAGGGCTTTGGTAGAGTAAAGGACAGACCTAGCTCTGGAAT